CCATTTAGGACAATTTCTCCCTCACAATCTTATTAGGATATGTGGTTCCGCATCTCACCTTTCCTCTTTGGTGCATTTTTGGAAGCGGCTAGTTCAATTCAATCGGGCCTGGTTGTCGCTGTATCTACACCATACATTGGTGATCTGATGTCGCGGGGACTCTGTTGTTTCCATTAACGCGGCGATTCGTGTTACATGGACGGAGGAGACGATATGTGCATTAAAATTGATTGGTGGTGGCCAAATTGCTCGAAAAGAGGTCAGAAAGTGTGACCCATATCAAATCACTGCCTGCCGTTGTAGTAACATGCTCATTGATCTTCTCTGTGCATCTTTGGACCAAACTCGGAACATTTTGTCTTTTACTTCGTCTCCAATCGAGGTTCTCTCCCTATCGGTATATTGAAATGTTATTCCTCCGATGGGTAGGCTTCAGAATAGTCATGTTTTGTTAGTTAAACAAGCATGCGAGTGTGTTTGGTGTGTTTTGTTATAATACTATTTTTTTTAAATTTGTTTTAGAGTTGCATTTAGCCTAATAAAGATACAAAGTACTTCTATCCAACGATGAGAGTTGGTTTCAAAATTTGAAGATTGTGGTCTCAACAAGCGTAGTCCAGGACAAGCGAAAGGTGACCTTTGCCTTATTATCAATTGAGATTTGATCTGAATGGTATCCTCACGGATCGTACGTGTCGAACCAATGAAATCTCTAAATGCACGGTTTACCCACTTTTGATTAGGAACGAGGGCAGGGTTGGGTGGTTGGCCCTGCAGCCGCTCGAGTTTCGCCTTTGGTAAACACGCTCATTGGAAGCCAGTGTTTTCGTTGAGAGATGGATCTTTTTGAGGACCGGCTGTGCCGATTTTCCTGCGCAGGCGATTTCCGGGCTACAGAGGCATCTGCTCGTCGTATGTCGAATATTTTTGGAACTCCTTACTTAGAAAGGAAAAAAAGTACTTTGCACGCACTTGCTTCAATCATAGACCCTGTATGGAGCCTAGGCTTCAATCACAGAAACATATTGGCTTATCCCTGGGGAGATTTGGGGGCCAAACGAGACTCGAACTTTGTCAGCGACGGTATGTATTTAACAAGACTGGCAAAATAGGGGTGGAAAACTGAGGGGAAAAAATCTGATGTTCGCAAATTCTGGGGACAACACACCTCACACAACGAGCAGGGAGAAAATAAACACGGCACATCGACAGCTGAACAAAAGGCGGGAGCCAATCAGACAAAAATTGTCTGTTGTGGTTTGGGGGGTTCTTTGGCTTGCAAAAGCGCTGAAAAAAGTTGGACTAAGGTTTCCTGTCCTAGTCATAGCAAGAAAAACTACCAACGTACAAACAACACCCCTAAATCGGTTCTTTTATTGTGTGGGTACAGAAAAAAGGGGTAAATGGAATCGCGATTGGCAGCCTCTCATTCTCAAGAGACCGGTAGTGTGGACGGTTGGCATTTGTTCCTTGTCCTGTTGTAGGTTTTTATATTTTTCTTTTAGGCCCGTGCTGCTCCTAACCGCTATGACTTTTTCTCGCAAGCGGGCCCGGGCCAACCCGTGTGCCCCTGAGGTACGGGCCATCTTGGGTTACACTCCCCTACGCCGGGGGAATGCCTCCCCCATTCTCCGCTCTTCTTTCCCCCTGAATGGGGGTGCCTGCACGGGACAATGGAGTGCCCACTATTATCCCCAAACAAGGGCTGCCATATTCCGTGTTTATTTTATTCTAAGTGAGTGTGCTTGGGTTTTTTTTTCTTCTGAGGTGCACTCAGTGTTGTGCGGTTTCCTCTATGGCGTTTGTTATGCTGATCTGACAGGCTCAAGTAGTATATGGCTCCCTAAAAATTTACATCAAAAATTCAAACCAAATGTGCGGTTGGAAACAATGTAGACCACAATAAAATTTAAGTTGACCCAAGTAATTTTTTTTCCATTATGCCGAATAAAATGCATGGAATTCAATGAAATATCATTATTCTTCACAGTTTAAACAACTTATGGTCATAGAAATTAAATGAAACACGTCTCTTTTGCCACCCATTTTGTCATCTTTTCTGGCATATATAGAAATCAATTTATAAGATTTATATTTCATAATTCTATCATCACCAAGACGATATAGAATGCCCGGTTTATGTCTGTACGTCTGGTCGATGTCTCGTGTAACAAATCACTCCATGGGCTACATTTTTACTGGCATGTTTACGACATGAATGTAGCCCCAAATAATGTTTGTTGATTTTTCTAAATGTGTTTGACTGGTGTGGCCTGGGTTGGCATATTTTCAGCCTCACGGTCTGCATACTGGTTGCTTGTTCATTTCAAGGGAGAACCAGATTATCTGTTCGATTATTTGATTAGAAAATTGTGGTCTGCATCACAGGAGCCTTCGACAACACTCCTGTAATCTTGATGACAACTTCTGTGACCCATATGAGAGACTCGAAATATGACTCGTAAGCGTGAAATATCGGTCAGAATTTAACAAAGTGGCACAGATCAGTATGCCTCCGAAGCTTTAAATAAGGCACAACACGAGGAGAGAAAACTTAATGATTGTTGGTTAAGTGATGTGACTGTTAGTAATTATAAAATGTTCCCTTTTTACTGAAATATAAAACCAAACTGCCCTTTGTCCTAGTTAGTCGAATAGTCAGTAATTATTACCAATCTTGACATGATTAGGCCTACGCTTGGACGGTTCTGGTTGACAGCTGTGAAGTTGAACATTGAAAAACCGGCACAATTTTCAAACAACCTTCAAATGCCGAAATCTTTTTTTTTTCTTTTCATTTCCTCCTTAGCTTCAGATCAAAAAGCTCTAATGAGGTCTAAAGACGTTTGTATGAGGAAAAAGGAAGCCCACAAATTACTTCTCCCCTGCTACCTATATAATTCTCAAAACCCAGCATCTCAGAAACCCCGCGGATTTGAGGCGAGACATCTTTTGGTCATCAACCTACCCGACCAACAGAAGTCAGCCTTTTCTCGCTTGTTAAAATCCCAAAGGCTTATGTAACCAATTTGGAAACCCCGCTGTCAGGCCTTGACAAGCCCAGTTCCCCGCCTGCTGCGCACTCCTTTCGTCCGGTTGAATTCCTCTCGTGCACGCCGCTCATCACCACCGCGCCCGAAATTAGCGGACCACGGCGGCCGCCATGTTGAAACTGGTCTCCTGTCAGCTCGGGTGATTTGTATACCGGCGTCCATTAGTGACAGACGTCATTAGCCGCTGACAGGTCGCCCGTCGGTTTGACACGGTCTGTATGGTTTATGACCCACTCCGCCAGACTTTGCAAATTTTTATTGTGTGGTGCACGGTGGCGGTCACCCAACATCCTAACTTAATTTGAGGGAATAAACATGTCTCGTAAAAACACCTTATTGATTCATGACATGCACGAGAGTTTATTTAACCATGTTTAAAATGAACCTTTGGGAACCAGCGATGACTATTGTTTGAATAAGCATCCTGCTTAAAATGAGGACTAATCGGTTGGCTTGTTTGGGTTTCGGACACATGGCCTTTCTCTCCAGTATAAGTCGATCTCGCAAAGAAAATTGAGCGACAGCATTAACTATATCGAACTCTGGGTTTCTGAAATACAATGTGAATGTGATCAAAATTGACAACACAAAGTTTCACCAAAACTTAACTTCTTTATATCTTTCCACATAATGGCCTACTGTAAAATAGGAACGCATCAAGGGAACTTGAATCAGTAAAAGTACTGATATTCTAAGAGATGCAAACTGCAGTATGTGGTCTCTTGAGTATTTTGGCAGTGACGGCAAGCCCCGTGTATATTTGTTTACTTTCCTAAACAGCCGTCGCCTCAAGGCGCAGTGTTGCACTCCTGACTCGGGTCTATGCCCATGGAAGCATTCAGAAAAAAACCCGAACAGCTTCCATACTGGCAGACCGTCTCATTAGCAAGACGCTTTAAGTCCCGCCCACATAATTAGGACATTTCTTGACGGTAAGGGGGTGGCGCTCAGCCAGCATTTTGGCAAGATAAACAATGTGTTAACGCGCCACTGAGTTTCTAAAGAAAGGGGGACTCGGAGAGGGGTTTAGGGGAGGCTTCTAAAGAGTGAAGAGATGTAGTCAGGGTGTTACGAGGTGACTGGATTCCAAACAGAACAATCGTCCTCGCCGTCAAATTCCTGGGCTCCTCATTGTGTTTTTTTTTCTAAAAAAGATGTTCAAAACTGTTACTCTCCAAGTATGGACCCCCAACAGATATACCAAACTTACTTTTTTAATCCAGCATAATTATGTGCATTGAAATGTTCTGAAGAAAATAAGTGTCTGCCTTCAAACTTTTCGTGAAAAGTCTTGGTCAGTGTCTTTTCTCCTTGTGGGAATCTCACGATTAATAAACTAATATAGACATATTTTTCTTTAGCCTAAGGGCGAGTTTGAGAGAAGAAATGTACTCTGGGGACAAGACTGCACAGTGAAAAAAAAAATCTGATTCACAGACATTCCTTGGTCTTCATGTAGGTATGTTCTCTACTCGGAAATAAGCCTCCGGATCTATATGTACCATGAGAGAGCGAAACCCCAGAGTTATGGAGACAAGAAGAAGAGGGGACAGAAGAGAAGACGGGAGATAGACAGCCGTGCGGATTAGTGGCCCCTAACCAAAGTCCCCATTGTCCAGGCATTCAAAGAGTTGTGTACTAAAGGTTATAATACTGACAGGCCCAGTCTCTAACAATGCCCACACGGGGGCAAGAACACCTATAATGAGCGGGCCCTAATTGCCTATTCAGTCTGCCGAAACGTCCCGGTAATGCTATTCTGCCGGAGTGGCTTCTAGCACAAGGCTGACAAATTAGGGTGCCTAAGAGCGGTGCTAGGTTGGGGACGCGCCAGTGGGCACAATCCGCTACTCTTGCCGATCTTCAAAAATAAGAAAAGTCAGCATCGAGCAGCTATGATTAATAAGAAAGTACATGAGACGAAACACAGAAGTACAAAACTCAAACTTCAATTTCCATCTTTTTCGTTTTAACTTCCTTTATATTTCCCCTCACGTCACTTAAAGTGCCAATTTTACCATAAAAGGACAACAATAAAATGCTAATCTTCTGCCTTATTTGATACAAAAATTAGGATACACTTTTTATAATATGAGTCAGTTCATGCATGTCACACAATCCCTCAATTTATACCCTCCCCCCAAGCACGGCCGTGGAAAATTCAACTGCAGCCCGAGTGAACAATCAATGAACCGCGACAAAAAAAGTGTCATCGGTGTTTCGATTTCCAATACTCATCGTTATACTCCTCATAGGCCTACTCACTGTACTGGGCCAGCACCAACTAACTCGTGGCTCCGTAAAAGGCAGAAAATTAACAAGCAATACCAGAAGAACGCATTTGCGTCCATACAGTCTACATTTAAACAGTTATATGGTACATACCAGGCACACTGTGCTTAAGCTGAATTTTGTACCATATTAATGTGAAATACTCACTGATAGTGTTACATCACGGGTTTTCATGTACATGTTCTGAAGTTAATATCTTAGATACAGTTCAGACGTGAAAAGTATAGCAAAGTCATTCGGTAAAATAACTTGGACAGTGCAGTAGTTGAAATATATTTCGCATAAAATATCTACATACAACCTTCCCAGTGAATAAGTTAAATGACAAATCACATATATTCACGGTCAGATACAAAGATTTTCTTCAAGTTAACTGTTCACATAATGGTAGCATAAGAACTTGTTCCGGATTTACAAAATAATGCAGAATACATTTCATTAAAAAGGAAAATTATATTCAAGAACATGCTTTGAAAATTGTACAATCGTCCTGTTCAGGTCTCCCGCAGCTGTGAGAACAAATACATGCACAACAAGGCACAGATTATTCATTTATAACATCGGCCATATTGGGGTCAGAGTTCAATATTTACTCAGTAAATAAGTAATTTATCATTACTACAATGCCGCTGGTATTTTTGTTCTTTGCCGCCGTCATGGCAGTATGTCACCATGTGACGTCACAGACTCATAATTCACGAGCAGCGGGAATGCTTAAGTTTCCGGCAACGAATGATAAATTGCTTACATAATAAAAGGACGAGGTTGAAATTCCATAAGTGTCCAACGCATGCGCTGAATCAAGTAAATAAGCAAAAATGGCGGCTTGTCTCTAAAAGTGGAGGTTAGATTACGAAAATGTGAACATCAAAATGTGAAAGTCTGTAGTTTGGTAGAATCAAATAAGTCAATCAGTAAAATGTAATTTCTGACGTTTCAGTGGGAAGACTGCATAGACTTGTTTTTATCTCAGTTATCTTAATGGCTGTCGCAGAAGGCGTCACAACATGAGAATGTCACTTATCAGTCAAATATTTTGGCGCCTCAAGGCAGTACCAACCAAGCAATGCCACTCAAGTTGTTAAAATGTCGCCAGAAGAAATCGGCACATGGTCCAGAAATGTCTATGCACAACGTGGTGATAATTTCAAAATGGAAAGTCTAAGTAATACAGTGTATCACCTAGTTACCACCCTTTGCTCTGGAGGCTAACCGTTAACCCACTTTCATAACCGTTTATAGAAATTTGACAAAACAAAATAACGCTAACCAGCTTGCTTTCCAGTGTTAGAAAAGATACTATCATCCATATAGTTTCAGTACATTCAATATACAACTTATATTACAAAAATAAAAACATGTGGTTTATGTTCAGCAGAGTTAAAACATGCAAGCTTTTTTGAGTAAGACATTAAAGACATGAGAACAGTTTTCAACCACTACATCATGATCCTTATCAGAAACATTCAGGCTGTGATCATTCATGTACAAGAAAATCACTGAGTGGGGTTATTGGGCCACGTCTATAAAAAGCACCTTTGCAGCCGGAGACCCCGAACAAAGCTTAATACACTCTTTACTCACTGGCCCCATTAGTGGGGTATGGCACCGTTTACCCAGCATTTGTCCCGCTAAGAACACGGTACACATTCGAACAAAAGGGGGAAAGTTTTTTAGAAACCCGTATCTTTCATTAGCGTGCATTGAACGCCGGCAGTGAGCGTGTTGACGTGGGTGATGTAACCGGTGTTTGCTCTACTGCTGCCCCGCTCGCTTGAGTGGGGACAACAGGAGTCAACTATGGCGCTGATAAAACAATTAGACATAAAAAATAACACATGACTTCCTTAAAGCATAATATAATGTACCACCATGACCACGATGATAACACAGTATGCAAAACACTGCTGGTATACCATATCACAATGAAATTATGAATAAGCTAGTAAAAGTATAAAAAAATTCAATTTCTGTACACATTTTAAATGTTTGTTTAAAAAAACAGTGTTTTTCAGTTGCCAGTTCTTTGAAGGGGAGCTATACACATCAGGCAATAAACATTGTTAAACAAGTTCTTGAAAGCACTAATATGGTCCATTGATCCTTGGCATTTTGATCAAACATGTGCTAATGGAACTGCCTTTGGATTTGTTGGCTTACCAATTCTGTCAAGTTCTTTCTTACCGAATAACCGATAGTAAAATCGTTTCCACGATTCCAGTGTCTTGCCCGACCAGATCCAAACTCCTGATGTGATCCCAACGACAAGGCACATAAAGTACTTGAGCATAAAAACCGAATAGTCCGGCTGGGAAACGTCTGCATTGCCGCAGGAGCATGTTTTTGTCCTTTCCCATTCGCCACGGGCGTGCTGCTCGTAGAAATAACAGCCGATGACTATGGTGGCTGGCACGGTGTAGAGAACTGTGAAGACCCCGATTCTGATCATGAGTTTTTCGAGTTTGTCCGTCTTGCTCCCTCCAGCTTTGATGACATGTCTGATGCGAAACAGGGAGACGAATCCAGCCATCAGAAATGTTGCTCCCAAGATCAGGTACACGAAGAGTGGGGCAAGCACAAATCCTCTGAGTTTCTCTACGTTCTGGTTTCCGACGAAGCAGATTCCGGCCACTGGGTCACCGTCCACTGAGCTGAGGGCCAGCACGGCGATGGACTTGATGCTGGGGACGAGCCAGGCTGCTAGGTGGAAATACTGGGAGTAACTGGCTATTGCCTCACTGCCCCATTTCATACCTGCTGCCAGGAACCATGTCAGGGAGAGGATGACCCACCAGATGGAACTGGCCATCCCGAAGAAGTAGATGAGGAGAAAAACGATGGTGCAGACGGCAGGGCCTGTCGACTCGTACCTGATGTACTCTCCGTTGCATGCCACTGCCTCGTGGCCTGCGATGAGCCGGATGATGTAGCCTAAGGAGACGAACAGATAGCATCCACTCAGGAAGATGATAGGTCTCTCCGGATACTTGAACCTCTCCATGTCAATGAGGAACGTCAGGGCGGTCGTCAGTGTCGACACGAAGCACAGAATCGACCATAATCCAATCCAGAAGGTCGCAAATGTTTTCTCATCGGACGAGAAGAAGGCACCATTGCAAGGGGTAGCGCAGCTAGGGACCTCACCGGTGCTGACACGGTTGTAGTACGGGTGTTGCTGTGGCACCGGCAGGAAGGGTTCCTTGCAGGAGCAGGGGCATTTACCGTTCGTTGGCCGAGGTTGGCGGGGCTTGGTGATGGTAGGTATGGTGGGTTTTGGTGTGGGCTTCTCCGTGGTGTTGAATCCCATGCAGAGTTGATCGGGGTTGCCAAACTCCGGTAAGTCCTCACAACGCATTCTCTCCGGCCAGGCGAATCCGTACTGCCTCATCAGCGGGGCGCAGCCGGACTTGGCTCGCTCGCAGACCGACCGACAGGCCGGTAACGGCTTGTTGTAGTTGGTGACACAGATCGGCGTGTACATGCTGCACAGGAAGAACTTCAAGTCCGCCGAGCACTGGATCTCCACCAGAGGCCAGAACTGATGCACTTCCAGCCCAGCTTCATCCTGTGTATCGTGGTTGAACTGGTTGGGCATGTACGTCATGTTGTAGCCAATATCACGGCACATGGGGATAGTTATTGGTTCACATTTGACGTCCCTGATTGCCAAACACGGAGTCAGAGACATCCAAAGTAGGATGAAAACACACAGGATACAGGGAGCGCTGGAGCAAGCCATGTCTCCCCTAGTCCCAACCGGCACGATATGAAATGCAGAACACCGAGATTTTTTTTTTACTCACAAGTCCGTGTCTTTGTGTATGCACAGCGTTGATCGGTGTACAAACAGAGCCGTTGGTCAAACACAAGCCACCGTGCGACAGCTACCACATGTACACGCTAGTACCGCAGCCAGCGCGCGAGTCACACGGAGCAAAGACTAACAGTCAACGTCGGAGTCCAAAGCTTGATCCCGGCAATATATCACACTGGCAGCACTCACTCACTCGCTGTTGAAATAGCACTCACATTTTATGCACGACTAAGTTCTCTCAAAACTGTGTCCCATTAGGTGCGATTTTTCTTCCACAGAGAAAGTCCAGTGGAGCGGCTGTAATGGACAAGGAGGAAAAACAAATCAGCAGTCAGTAATGAAAACTTGCCACACAAGCGATATTTTCCCCGGGTCTAATCGGTAGTAGTCCCCGTGTATCAGCAATAACACGCCGGTGGAGATGTGTACACACGGATGTCGATTTAGTTAATGACCGGAACAGTGGAGATGCCGCGAGGTTTATGGTTAACCCTGGAGCATTAGGAAGTTGTGTCCCGTCAGAGCAGTCTGGGAGCCCCGTTTATGTCTCAATGTGACGATTCTCACAGCCCGTAGCCAACAACCTGCCAGTGAGGTGTCAACGGACCTAGCTGTCACTCTTCTGTCAGCTCATTATGCCCCTATTCATACGTGACGTCACCCGTCCATCATGTAATCAATCCTCCAATTAGCGGGTATGGATGTGGGCGTGACGTCGTGGTCTCCGCTCACCAACTGGCCCCATTGTAAACCGAGAGAGCGAGGGGTGAAAGGAGGATGGAAAAGAACAGAGAAAGGGGTGGGAAGAAAAGAAAAGCGAAGAAAAGAAGAGAGAAGCAAAGAGAATTTAGTAAGGGAAATATTTGCTTCGAAAATAACACAGGAACTCTTACATTGCTAACTAAAAATGACCTGATTTTCTTTAATATTTGATTTAAACATTCCAGCTATGCCCTAGTTTGTGATAAGAGATACGTATCGGCCATAAATCAACACGATTCTCATCATTTACCACTCAGTATAGATACACAAAGTCGTTGCGCACAAACTGACAACATAAATCGCACCTAACACACACACACACAATGTACAAGTTTGATATTTATTATCTCATGTTCAAAAAGACTTTGTGGATTTTATCAAGGATGATTTTACTTTACTACTTAATAAGAAACAGAAATGCAACCCTCCCTAACATACCCAACTAAACAACCTGAGACTTCACGGGACAGACAAACACACAAAACCAAATAAAACACACACATCTCGGCGGGGAAACGCCATGATCAGTGAACTGCGCGCCGCCAGCCAAGTTCCCACCGGCCATAAGGGAACAATGACGGTTCACAGTTCAACTCCTTGTGCGCTGTGATTGACAGCTCCCGAGGGACCATCAAAAAACAATTTTCATTTCTAAACTTTGAGTTCTCTCACTCTTTTTTTGTTGTTGGCTACATCATGTGACCCTACCGGGTTTACCCTGGAGTCAAACGGAATATTGTCAGTGTTCAAGCGCGCAGGAGAAACGGAGATATCGCTCTGCTTGTTGGTTTTAGGCATTTTGTATGGGGGTTCAGGCGTGATATTTGGAGTCAAAATAAAAACACACCAATGATTGCTGTTGCAATCGTGGGACCCTGCAACGGTTCATGAGGCTGAGATTGACTTGGGAATACAAAATTTGAGGATGATCTTTGCTGTTGGCCAATTTTACACAATTGTGGTCTTTGCAAAACGTTAATTGCATCTTATGCGATTTGAAGGTTTACATTGTCAAGTCAGGAGTAAGTTGGGGCTGCATCACTTGAAATGAATTTTCTTTTTTAAGTTGTTGAGTTTCTACCATCTCTCTGTAGAACCACCAAACTCACAAAAGAGAATTTGACTATACATCTTGGTGATACGATTGAAATAATAAGGTATCGGTTCGTGATTGATTCTTCATACAGCCCTTTTTGATGAGTTTAGATAGAGTTTGATGATATTAGAATTATGAAATCAAGTTAAGCTTTGACTACAGGCGTAGGCATACACGGTATATAATGATGACTTGATCAGGCCACAGTTAACCTGTCAGGCAGGAGCGAGAGGTATTTTCAAGGAATTGTGCCGCACTGTCGAGTGATGACAGCCCGCCTAGCCCGCTGGATTATCGCCAGCGTCAACCCTAATCCAGAATTTATTGTTGCTGCGACCAACCCGGAATAACCCCGCTGTGATCGGTGCTGATCCCCCGGATCTGTCCCCCTGCACAACTAAACATGATCCCCGCTTATTGATGCCCTATTATGAATGGGTGTTTTCTCGGTGAATAGGGAGTACGAAAGAAGTGAAGGGGGGGGGGGGGGCTATAGTTCTGCACCATGAAGCCATCATTAGGGAAGAAGGTCAGCCTAAACTCTCGGTGGTATAGTTGGACAAATTGGGCTGCCTCGTGGGGCTAATTAAGGTCTGTTGGAGATTTCGTTTTGTTGGGTGGGTGAAGGGGGTTGATGACATCGGCTAATTGGCATCACAGGACAGATGACAGGAGGACGGTACAGCAAGATGGCGACGAAGAGACACGAGACATGGGGACTGGTATTGATTGGGAATTGGGAATAACCATAGAGAAGTGTGTCCTTTCTCTATGGAATAACCATAATATCCCAATAATGAGGCAGGGATGGCATGGGGAATGTAGGAAAGGGTTGCAAAAAGTATTTTCATAGAAAAAAGTCCCTTGTGAGGCATTGCATGTAATCATAGACGCACCGTGTACACCAAGTACCATCGTTGGGTTTGGGCCTATCTGCACCTTTGACACCTGACATCTGACAGTTGACAAATGGAGCGATTCTAACAAAAATAAGTTTTGGAGTCCAATCTTGACAACAGCGGAGCCTGACACGTAGCAAATTCATTAATAAAGTGAGGTGTCCACATTCTGATCTCTGAGCAGTTTCACCTTATGGACCCCGGACGGGGAAATTTAAGATGCACGCGACGCGCAAGAAAAACACTTGAAATTTCGGCGGTACTTGAAGTCAACCCTTCATCTTGAAAAAAAATGTCTTCCGTTGCTCAGTGGAAAGTTATGTTGATCCTAATAGGAATGTTGTTAGCTTTCCACGTGAAATGATTGTCTAGGGGTCCTCGAGGTCTCGAAATGTTTCCCACCGTGGAAATATTGTTGGTGTCATAGAGAGAGGTTATCTTTCTTTCTTCAGTGCAAAATAAAACAGTTCAGTGTCGAGTTGAGGCCATTAATAAGACGACTTGATCATTACTGGCCAGGGATCCTCAGTTGCTCGAACTCGTTATTCAGAAGCGATAGATCTCTAATTAGCGCCACAAAAAGAAACCAACGAAACAACTTAAAACTGTGCAAGTTTGGGTACAGGATAGGCTTTTCGCTAAAAATCGTTACAAGTGCTATACCAATCCCTAATTCAACTATGCATCCACCCTCAGTGAAAGTTTCACACGGGTCTCGAATATAGGCCCTATATTTATTTTTCCATCAAAGATTTTGAAAAGTGTGTGACCTTGAAAATGCTACGTTTGACTGTAGTCAATGCTGTAATCGTTGAGCGGAAAGCTGAGTTTATTATTTTTTGTAGACTCAAAATCAAAGAGAGTACATACGTAGGTCGACACTTAAACACTTTTGTTGTGTGCGTGTTTGTTGCAAAGAACGCAAGCCATTTTTCTACAGTTCAAACAAGTGCAATAAACGACAGCAACACAGTCATGCTTGAGTTGACGTATGCCTTTGGAATGTACGCTATGATCTTATAACAACAACATGCCGTTTGAATAAAAGTTTGTTTTCAGTCAATTGAAACTGGTTATTTGTTTTACATTTAATGCAAATTTTGACCACACTGTATTATTGTACGAACTCGGTGTTTTGTGCTACGACTCAGGGAGAAAGTTTTAATAAATTCACGATTTTACCGGTCTTCCAACTCAAACTTCGTCTGGTGAAATCAAAATAACATCCGACAGAGACCTGAAAGTAGGTCTATCTAAACACGAAACGACTGGCGACGAGTCTAGCCACAGCTGTCAATCATTTTGTGCCGCTTCCTTCCTGCCCGCCCGTGCGGCAACGAATTTGTTTTTACAATAAGCTGATAACCGTGTCCCGTGGAGTCATAACAAAAATTTGTAACAATTTCAGGTTTTTCTTTTTCCCTTCAAGGTCAGACTGTGGAAACTATTTTTTTCCTGCGCGTGGGTGTATAACACGTGCCACCTGATGCAACAAGAGATGTTGAAAAATGGAGGAACTGTTTTCCTTCCTCCATATGGTTGAAATAACGATGATCGGAATTTGGGCAGACAGGACTTAGTTTAGTGAATTCGTAACTTAAGATTGAAAGAAACTGTTGTTTCAAATTGACTTCCGTTTACGACGTGCGTTTGTATCTTCTGTTAACTCCTTCGTTTGGTGTAAGCAAAATTTTGAGATTATTAGGCCTATGACTTGAATAATTCAGTCAACTCATTTCATATTCAGGGGAAAAAAATAAGTCGTCTATACATGGCATTATAAGACACACTTCAAGTGCTCGATAAAATATAAATGACACGAAAGCCCTTCAGTTCAAGCCAAAAAAAGATAAACATATACAGTGTATATCAGCATTACTTGAATCAGTCCGACTCCATTCAAATGGGTTCTGTTCCGGAAATATATAGTCAAAATATATGGGGGGGGGGGGACGTTTAAATAACTACCAACATTTACTCGAATATGTTTTACATTTCAATGATTGTTTTTGTCTTCATCATGCATATTCCTTTGGGGTTTTCCCATCACAATGGGCACAGAATATCAGATAAGATGGATATTATGTGAGTCTTTAGCACATTTTGGCACATTTCTTTCACCAAGTTGACTTCAATTTCAATGTTCAGTTTTTTGATATGCCCATAGGTTCGTGGTTCCATGATGGGGAAACAATTAAGCTAAAAACTGTCAGTTATAATGCACACAACAGGACGTCGTCTTGCTGATGGCACATTCTCTAAGCGCCCGGTTAAGAATAACGCCCATTCCAGGCTAATGAGCTTTAATTGTATCACTGTGACAATCGAGGTATTAGTCCTGCATTATTGGCCAGGCGTGGCAGTGTGGCTGTCAATCACCTTGCGGTCTCTGAGTGACAGGTCGTGTACCTGATGTTCTGGATCCAATTTCATGGAACATAATAAGCAGCAATTAGTGGGTAGCACGTTTATGTGATAAACCGTGCTGTGTGATAAACTGTGATATTAAGTTGATGTGCTAAGCCAAACCAGCTGAACTGGGCACCAGTGGCATCACCACGGCCACAAGACAGCATGATATTTTGACTGGTAACCTGTTTTTGCAAAGCAGATATTTTCCATGCTTCGCGAAATGTTGTGCTTTGCAGCCTATATGAAAACTGCCCCTGGCGTTACCGTTCTACTTATGGAGATAACCTTTATCCCTCGATTTCAGCAAAAGAGATTCAAAATGTAACTTACCAAACCTCCATAAGTCGGGCTGTAATTTCCCTTTCCACTGGTGTCCATAACTGGAAGCTGCGCCGGATACCTGGTTAAGAAAATGTGATGAAATATATTATTAGTCTTTGGACTGTAGTTTTGTGTTTGTGTGTTGGGTGTGTTGTTTGTTTGTTTGTTTGTTTGTTTTTTGGCTGCCATATTCTCACTGTTTACGCTCAATGCCACTTCTGGGATCATTTGCCGGGTCATATGAGCAGGAAACCTTGGCAAAAATGTTACTTTTATCCAGAAAAGTGTCCTTTTTTTACCACGAAAAGTAATAGACCGGGAAGAACCCGGATGCTGTCTAATCTGACGTACAGGACTATTTTAGAGTGCACCTCTTGGAATCAGATCCGGAAATTTCAGAGTTTGTTTAGTGCGTGAGAAGATGTCGCTGTAGAATAACTCGAGAAACCTGCTTTTATAAATTGAAAATAAACATTAGCTTGCAAATGTTCCAGCCCATTTTCTGACCGTAATGTACCTTTGAAAGATAGGTTTGGATTGGTTTGAGCGAAGTACAGAACTGACTAACTCGGGACGCTTTGAAACAGTCTATGTAATGTATCGTTATGCATTACCACACAAACTGCATGACTTGTGCGAATTTTGAAATTCGACGATGCACGGAACCGCGACAGAGGCCCGTATGCGACAAAAATTCACATGCCAATCACGCAAGACGTGATGAGTGAGATGAGACATTTGCAGTTCGCGTGCATAAGAAAATAAACTATTCGACCAAATTCACTCATCATCCTACCCCTAATCTATATTCTAATATATATCATGAAAATATTAATTAAATTGGTCAAAATAAACGACCTGAAAACTGTAGCAGTTTGCATGATGTCTCTAATAAAGGAATGCTCTTTACTCTGGTTGAAGTTCAAGTACTGAAACGATCTCGCTCTGTACTGATGAAAAGATCAGGGGTTCGTTCACATCCAAATGAACCGCTTCAAAATGTCATCTGCAAGGATCGGGGAATTAAAGTGATGGCCCAAAAAATCTTTCGATGATGAGTAGGCCTAATGCAGGGATGTGTATACTATTATTATAGAAGAAGCTGGATGGTTATTTATGGTTGTATCTAGTAAGCACTGTATATTCACTGCTTTCCGCAGGGTGGAGCTCGAAGTCAGCATTATAAAGCCACACTTGCAGATATGAGTAGCAGGCAAAATTTGGGAGGGCCACGTGGTTCCCTCACCCCACCCCACCCCGGATTCGCCAATGATCACTTCAAGAAAGGACACACCTCGTGAACACAACAGGAAGTGGCAGACAGGACGCTTCAACTGTGTACTCCTAGATATCTTTCATCTGTTTGCGCTCCATTTTTCTAAAATGTCAGCATTTCCTAGTATTAAGCCAAAAAAAATAAGTCTCCGGTTTTTGGTATGCGCGCGCGTCGCCGTAGCCATGCGCGTCGGCAAAATGAAAAAGTTTTTTTTTTCAATGAAAGATGATGTCTCAAAACCGCCAAACTCAATGGTTTGACTGGAATCCTGCTGCTGCACAATTTTAACGTGCTTTTAGACGGGGATATGATCGAGAATAAGCTTTATGTGGCCTCTCTGGACTCCCATATATTTGCACTAAGTTTAGTCGGGCACCATTTGCAGTCATCAGCCGACATTTGAAGCAAAAAAAAAGGTAAAAAAAAAAAAGCCGCGCCGCCGCACCACTTTTTGGGCAATCTCCATACCAGAAACCGGAGACTTTTTTTTTTGGCCTTAGGGAATCGGTTCGTAAAACAAACAGACTCATTATACGTGATCAAGTTGAAAAGACTTGGGGAAAGGCTAATCCACTTCGCTAGGTTTGTAAATTTTCTTTAAAATTTATCGATAAATGACACTTTTGCTACTTTACCAAAAACCTTTTAAAATTTAAAGATCTTGGTCTAAAATACTTAGAGCAGCTAGCATGTAATATGTTTTAAAAGATGGACCAAAGTTTATAAGCCCCCAAAACGGGCCTTGTTACCACACATAAACCCTAATTGAAGTTCTGTTCAGCATTCGACATTCTTTTGCGTTAAATTAAGGTTGCTGACCGTATTTAAATGAAGCCGTCAGATTCCCTGGAATTTTCAGGACTAACAGCTCCGATCTTTTTTTATTAAATTCCTTCCACGCCGCACGCTGGGCCGCCTGCCAGTTAGTATTAGACCCCACGTCGCGCCTTGCTCTTCATGTTGTCAGCTTACGCGTCCAGTTCCCTTGAGATGTCGTAATTACGAGGGCAAATGAGGCTGGGAAGAATGCACATTGGTTGCAATATTTGGCGATCGACCATTCATTATTTCAAAAGAATCTGAGTGAAAGACATCTTTGTACATTTTACACATGCACGCCAGCTCTGCCTCATAGTACTTCAATGTGTGACCATCCTAGAGCGAAGCAACACCATCAATTATGATTAATACAACACTTAAACAGAATGAAAAAAAGCACACATTGAATTCAGTTTTCTCTCGTCTGGTCACCTGTTCGACTTACAACAGTTTTTCTGGTATTACTATTTTTCCCAAACAAACGTCTCTTATTATTGTGTATGCATTCAAACAACCAAAACTTATTCGCGTTGTTGACACTGTTTAAATTTGTCCGATTTTTCGTCCACGTGGGTCTAATGTTCTGGAATATACCCGTAAAACGAAGAACATTTTCACAATTATATTTAGCGATGGTTGGTACATCAGTGATATGTGACTGAATTGCAAATCGCTCAGCATGACAATCGACGCCATGGTTGGGATTCGGAATCTCAGTCCCACCACATGCCAACGTAAGAAATTGAAAATTGCATCGAGCTGTTTAGTGGATAAAAGAAAACACATTTCACTATTTAAAGCTTGAAATTACGATGAATGAAATGCTTGTTCTTTTTCCTAGGTATATAGTCAGCACGGGCCGAGCTCACGGGCTCTGCAAAGAACACCGCCGTCATTTCCCACTTGAAATGGCGCGACCGCCCAACGAAAAAGTGCGCATCAATCTCCCCTCCCCGGCATCGCCAGAGCACCCTCGGGCCAACGACTGACCCAATTAAAAAGAAATTAATCATGGGTCGAGTGTTTGTGCAAGATAAAGGTTTCTTTTTTAATGTGAAAGGGGCAAACTTCACCTCGATAAACTCTACTCGGCCGTATCTAGAATCTTGAATATAATGCAGCCGACACTGAGGCTAGCATAACAAACACGGGTCTACTATGGAACTACACTCACAGCCCGGCTGAGCAAAAAAATCTAATATTAGTGGCCTTGCTTCTTGGTCGTTTTTTTCTCAACAAAATGTTCTAACTTCCCGCCCAGACCTAATAAAATACATTCCCTAGTCGTCGAAGGTGGCAGGTGGCAAATGAAAACCTCAAGTAGGGACAATTTGGCACCGTCCCGCCCGCTTCCAGTTCGCCAAATCTGCCGGATAAACGCTGTCACTTCCCCATGTCAGCCGCGTTATTATTTTTTTGGGCGAGTACGGCAATTACACACAGTGAACATCCAACGCAACACTGATACTGTTGTCTGGCTTATCGGCATCTTGTCAGCTTTGTAAAATATTAGCCCATGGGCAAATACAAGCAAACTCGGTATCAAACAAGATTAGATCAAATTCTGTTGCTACTGTGGAACGGGGTCCCCCGAAAAGCAAACACAATACTCGGAAATCGCCGTCAGAATTGATCCATCTCGGAGAGATTCAAATGTATTTTTATAGTTAACAAAAAAACATTTCGAAACCCAATTATGAAACTGGGTTTGCGCCAGACTGTTGGCTTAAGAGGAAGTTTGTATTTTATTTCAGCTGCATTAGACTTCTTTTTTTTAGCTTAAGTTCCGCTTCGACTTACCGATTACAAACAAGGTTTAAAATAAAATGAAAATGGACTATAAACAGACCTTGAAGTAAAGCAGAGCCTATATTTAATTCGCATATTATGTGGTTTGCCGGGTTTGGGATCAAGTAGCATTCATGTCCGCGTATGACACTTGCCCTATTCCCACTTCAAAAATCTAAACATATTTAATGCTTTTGGAGCAATGCTAACTGTTGATAGCCCCACGGTACCTTTTTTCACTTAAAAACAAACAAAACAAAATGGCGTACCCCAAAAAAAACTTTATGAAATGCTCAGTAAAATCACTGTACCGTCAGTGGAAACAGAGAGGATGGCTTCCTAATAACCATAAGAGAATGAGCATTGGGTACATTTTTAATCCTTGTCAAATTTCAGTTTATATAGTTTCTCTGAAGCGACAAGGATTTGAGGCGTTTGTCCATATATAGTTTCCCGACACTCTATTATTACTCCACTCAAATCAAACATCAAGGCCTCGTGCTACATATCCATCAATCCCATCAAGCACAGAATTCATTCCAGAATAGCTGAAAGAGCCAAAATATCTACATAATGAAAATAAATTATAACCCGTCATTATCTGCCAAATCAGCTCCAAAAATGCAACGCCTAACCAGTGTACCTCGTTTTCTTCTAAGGTCTATTCATGCTGAAGACCCAGCGGGGTTTCCTAGGAGCTTCCTGGATTTCTGTCACCCGTTCGACGTTTTGTTACATTCGAATCTAGCCCCATACAACCCCTCCCCAGTCATTAGACCCTATTGTTACCCCGTCTGACCACCCCCTGTCCTCCTCTTGTGAGTGCTATAAACCCATCAGTGTCTGAACAACTGCCACACTGCCCCTCCCCGTACTAAACTACCTCTTTATAATGCATTGTCTCTTAGCTTATTAAGATTGCTTCTCCGCCCAAATTAATCACAAGGCTATTCATTCCCTTGTCTCCTATGAACAATTGTATTAAGTTGGATTTCCGTGTCTTTCATTCTTTTCCTGGTTTGAGTTTTTCAAGGAACGTAAGATGTACTTTTAATTACGCGACGACGACCTACTACTGAGAACCGAGCAATTTGGGTCTCTTTCATGTACTTTTAAGTCTATAATTATCTGTGTCAATCAAAGAGGGTATGATCATGATGTGATGGGATGCTAGAGTGTATCTATCTCGACAACAAAGTTGGGTCGATCGACTCTGTGTAAACCACTAGATTGTTTGGGATTTTTTTCTCCAAATAATGATGACTTTAAAAAGGAAGAGTAAGTTCGGCGACACAACTCCCACTCATAAAAACAAACCAAAACAGGAAGAAAACACCGATACAATTATTATTTCCATGCAAAGTGAAATTTTAGTTGCGGGATAGCAGCTCAAAAAAATCATCATGTCTCTCCGTTATTAGTTAGTAACACACATTGGCATTGTCTATTTGCTCCTATATATTTTGACCGATTTCAAGCAAAAGTTGTCAAAAGAAGGTCGCCCTCACACGACTGATTTTTTTTTACCTCAACGTCATAACCCTGCATAAAATTCCCATAGACACCAGTGCTAAATGCCCATACTCCCAAATTCTTTAAAGAATACTCGGAACTCTCACAGGTATTTAAGCTGCACAGAAAAATGACGATCAACATGACTTTTTTCGGTCACCTTTCATTTCTTTCAGTTTTTGTGGGTTGACCATTGACTTTTCGAGAAATTTTCACACAACGACTCCTATTTTTCCCAAAGTGGAAAAGTAGCCATATGATCCCGCCAAGAACACACTAGTGGCAAAATAGCGCCACTTTCGAGCTCAATTGCATCCAAAATGCCCTGATCAGACTTGAAAGCCCCAAGTCCGGGCCAGAGGTTCATTGCCATATCTCTCCAATTCAATTTTATGGCTTTCAGAACTAATGTAGAATATTTTGAGGGTATAACTTTCAGTCATGGGTTTAGGCCTATTTACCGGTATCCCCCCCCAAAAAAATCCCATGATTGACATCCATATTCTTAGCAGTCTTGAAATTTAGAGGATTCGTTGTTAGACTAGTCAAGAGAAACCATTAATCAGAGTGGGTCAGCTAGAAGCTGTGCTCTTTGAAACTAAAATTTCGAATGCATTCAAATAACAAAATTACCTTTATGAATTATTTGTGGTGAAATGCCATTTATGATGTCAAATTCTTTTTAAGATTCTTTTTAAGATTCCCATATCTGGCAATCATTTTTCACTCCGTGCACAAAATGGGACTGGTCTGAAAATTTCTAAGTGTTTTCTCAGTAAAAATTCAAAATTGTCACTGCTAATTTTGACTTTTTAGGGCATATTATCACTTTCTGATGGCTGATAGGTAATTTATGGGAAAAATAAGTGATGGCCAGATATGGGAATCTTTTCTTATAACTTCCCAACCTCACCAGTCTCCTTATAATAGGCCTACATGTCAATCCAAATATTTCTTTAAAATGGCTTAATTTTCGACTTGCTCGCAACTCCGCTGTTCCGAAGTGGTCAAGGCGATATTTAGGCTATATCGTCCTTAATCAATTATTTCTCGGAAATTTCCCGAGTATTTTGAGTATTTCCCAGATTCAAAGAGTTGGAACTAACCAGATTTGTTGTCCTGCTTGGCCATAACTCCCATAAGCAGACTAGGGTCACCTACTATACGCATCATCCCTGATCCAGACCGCCATTTGTGCTGGATGGGTTGCCGTTCCTTTCTTGCTGGGGCAATGAGAGTTGAGTGCCACTAATATTTTTTTCCAGGGAAACTGCCACATCATGTTGCTCATTGTCTTTTTTTCAATCTTTCTTGCACTTTGAAGACACATTTCCCTTGTATTTCGGAGCTGCATGTTGTCCATAATATGCCTACATTACTCTCATGATGGAGGTACATCGCCCTAATCATGCTCTAGGTTTACCAGGCCCACCCTTACTACCGTAACTCAGTTGTCATTTGATGAATAGAAAGAATTCTTAATTTGAATAGTAAGAATTCCCGTTTTATCTGGGTGTTTTTGTTGGCATTATACGTCTCACTCTAAGCATTCTTTTCTTTCAAAGTTTCAAGCCTCACTGAATTGATGGTATGATGATTTCTTTGTTTGCGAGGGGCAGTTGCATATGCAGGTTGTGGTGCATTGGGCCTGGGCCAAGGCTTTAGCAAACATTCAAACAAACATGACTTTTAATTAATGCAAACAATAGTCTGACAGCAAAATACTACTGTCAACTAGTACCGATGACGGATGACACACGCCCTCTATAGTCGTTTTTTTTTTTGCTACGGAACTTCTAGGCTGATGTCTAGACGTCTACACACTATATACCAATGTACCATCACTAATGTTACCCGTCTCTTTCTGTGAAACGTGTGCCTGCCATATGGAACTGCACTGCATGCTACGGGAAACAGGTGTAACGTTAGTGGGTAGGTCATCAACACATTCTTGTGTTACATTTTTGGTAAAAAGTAAACCAACATGGCAACTGTGGATGAACTGAAGGAAAGGATTGCTCAACTTGAAGTAGAGCTTGCCAAGGAACGAGAAAAGACAGGTGGAAATGTTGCTGGAGCTAGAAAGAAAATCGACCAGATGTCTTCGGAAGTGGTCGATAGCAATCCGTACAGGTATAAAAACTAAAGGAAATTCAAACTAAATGGAGTAACAAAACGTGGTTAGCCCGAGTCATAAATTTGGCGATCATGTAGTTACGGGCCCCCCTTTGGTTTCGATCAAATTACAGTCAACATGTGTAGTTTTCATCATTCAAACAGCCCTTTCAATCTAAAACAGCTATCTCTTAATTCTAACACCTATTTTTGTAATTTTGATTATGAACAATATCTTCATAAGTTCATGTAGAAATTACGATTTTTTTTTAGGCGGTTTGCGATTGGTGCCATGCAATTAAGCGCTCCTTGCGCGTTCACGGTACATCGCCATCTTTATTATTGTGTTGCATTTTATCCTCAAATTTTCCTCAAACATTCAAAACCCTGCCCTCTATCTATGACAATACCTGCATGTTCTTAATGTTGCCAACTAGTTTGGCAGGCACCTCCCCCCTCCCTAGTCAAACAAATAAAAAGTGCATTTTGTTCTCATATAAGTTATAGGGAACTGGGCCCGTTACTACACGATCGCCATAAACGACATACAGAAAACAATTGATGATTTCATCATGGATCTTATTACCTTGAATTTTGCATGTACCTGTTATCAATGCACAACCTAACTTGCTTGAATATCAGCAGTTTCCATGATGTGTTTTCCAATCTGCTCAAAAATAAAAACCTATGTAAACAAGTTGAAGTTGTATTACAATAATAAAGCTAAAAATATTATCCTAGCTCTCCCTTTAGCAATCTATGCAGTATGATACATATAAAGTATTTAATGCTTGTTCTTTTGACTTGTATTTTGTTGCAGTCGACTGATGGCACTTAAGCGCATGGGAATTGTTGACAATTATGAGGTAAGATGCATGTATGTTGACATTAAATTTTTCGGTGAACATTTAGGCTCATCGTATCATTGTACTAAATGTTTGCAAGAATTTCTTAATTCATAGTTTGCAACAGTTGATTTGTCGCATGCGGTTATGCGGATTGTTTGAGATGAGGTATCCAGTTGTAAATAAATTGAAATCAAGATACATAATATTTTCAATTCAAAACAAGAATCTGCATACTTTACTCTTTTGGACGGCATTTTATGCTTGTTTTCTCCAGAGAATACGAGATTTCACAGTGGCAGTAGTTGGAGTGGGCGGAGTCGGCAGCGTGACTGCAGAGATGCTGACAAGATGTGGTATCGGCAAGGTACATGCACTAGGGATACCGCAATTTTTACAACATTTTGCTGTATTGGCAAATAGGGTTTGTATAACACGGATCACTATTTGTCAAATAACACCAATATTTATAAAATATTGAATGGCTTTTAGGGGGATTCAAGAATAAATTGCACAAGCTATAACAATATTGCACGAGTCAAAGATGAGTGCAATATTGTTATGGCGAGTGCAATATATTCTTGTATCCCAAGAAAAAAGTCATCCCATATTATTATTATTATTATGTATATCAGGCTGACTTGATCCGCAAGAAATAAATTTCAGGACACTGTCTTTATTTCTCAAATTTCGTCGAATTATTCGCTGTTTACCGAAGAAAATTTCGCACCGCTCAAAACTGCCATTGTGGTTGTTGACAACAGTGTGTGTATACTCTGCTTGTTCTGCGCGCTGCGTCCGCACTACGCTCTGTTGACTGGTCGACAACTGTGCATTTCTACGCTGTAGATTGCGCGGGAACCAACAAAAATGCCCCGATTACTGCAATATAAAAAATAATATTGCAGTCATCCGGGTACTTTTTACGGAAGCATAGATAACGCTGATTTATTTTTACCACCGGAAGCCTGATATAAATAATAATTCATTTTACTGCATCGTAAAGTTCATTTTATTTAAATTTCAATTCCCTGTTGGTCTGTTTTTGCGTAACAGCTCTTGCTGTTTGACTACGACAAGGTGGAATTGGCCAACATGAACCGTTTATTCTTCCAACCCTACCAAGCTGGCATGAGCAAAGTACAAGCTGCAGAGAAGACTCTTAGGTAAAACAAAATGGCATGTAAATCATCTCCATGTTGCCATGAAAACTATTATGAAAGAAACGAGAAAGCTGTTGAATGATCTAGTTTTCTTTTCCTTTTTGGGGGGATGAAAAAAAGTTTATAAAGCTGCGAACATTCTATTAGAACTTGTGCAACTTCAATGGGCCTAAAATGGCTGTGTCAGTGGATTACTGGGAGAATTTTCTGATGCCAAGTTTTGGACCAGTCCTCAATGAATCATAGAACTACGCAAGTATTCTCTGAAAGATGTTTTGTATTGAATATAATGGTTTATAATTCAAATAATATTGTCTTTACTTTTCTAGAGATATCAACCCAGATGTGCAATTTGAAACTCACAACTACAACATCACCACGGTGGACAACTTCCAACACTTTATGGACAGAATTAGGTAAAGAAGGAAAAAACAAATACTAGTCTGAAAGTGTAGTGCTGTGGAGACCAGTGGAGTGCCATGTCTGATGAATTTGCTACTAATAATTGTACGTACTGCACAGCATGTACAATCAGTCAGCAAAATTATATCTTTGCACTGTAGATTTGTTTTATTTTCAATTGCTACTTTCCTAGTAATGTTAACTTTTGAATGAGACACCGAAAGGGAAAAAAAAAAAAAATCCACCGGCGTTTATTTAATGAATTTATTCTTCCCAAAATTTGAATTATTGGCTGCCAGACAATTTTTCGGGTATCCTAGGGTGGGTTTGTTTGAGCTCAAAATGAAAGCCTCTTTTTCAGGGGGTTGCAGATGCCCAAAATGGGAATAAATTTGATTTTTTGTTTAAACAAAACATACAAATTAAGAAAAATTTGTTAGGAGAAAAACAATCTATTTTTTGAATAGCACAAGGTATGAAACTTTAAAAGTAACTTTCAAGCAGAAATTCGTAGCAGATATATTTGAGACCTCCTGTAAACTGAAATTAACTGGATTCTGAAACAAAGTCGTATCTTGCGCAAATACGCTCAGTGCAACAAGTTCGTACTCACATATTGGGCCATCCATTGATTTTGTGTTTACATCCGTGTTACTTTAAGTGAGATACGACCTTTTGACATTGAAAGCTCGCATTTCATATACATGACATGATACGCTATTTGTGCAAGCTTCAATTGTTGATGCGTTGTCTTTCTATAGCCATGGTAACTTGAAGGGGGACGGTAGTGTGGACTTGGTGCTGAGCTGTGTGGATAACTTTGAAGCAAGGATGGCGATAAATACAGTAAGTTTGAACACATTCACTTACACAGAGAAAATATTCTTGCTAATACATGTACATTGTAGTACACTGGTCAGTAATCAAAGTTGCATGTAAATATTACATTTAGCTGCAATAACCATTTTCTCCGGTTTTAATTTTGACCATTTTGACGAGCAAATAAGTACCACCTGGATTTTTTTCAAGAGCCCCCGCTGTGATTTCATCATGGCTATTGCCTTCTTTGCCACCCAGCTTAACATTAACTTTGTGGAGAGCAATGAATGTTCATTATCTTTGTTTTTCTAGGCATGTAATGAACTGGAACAGAATTGGATCGAGTCTGGAGTCAGTGAGAACGCCGTGTCTGGTCACATACAGCTGATCAAACCGGGAGAAACCGCCTGCTTTGCTGTAAGTTCACTCATTGATTGCATCACATCCAGAATCAGAATAAATAGTGTTAGACTGGCTATTGCCTTAAAAAAATAGGAAAGCTTTTTGTGAAGTAAAGGCAAAGGGATGCCTTTCTTTCATGCCAAATTTTCAAATGGCATCCCCCCCCCAAGTTGTTTCCTTCCCCCCCCCTCAGTTTTCCCTCAACACTTTTTCTACAAATAGATTTATTACGTTTTTTTTCTTCGCTGTTAAGATTCATTTCAAGTTGAAGATAGAGAGTGAATCTTCGGTTCTGTGGACACATTTTGGGCCAATGAACGCATTATAAACTGTGGTACTTTGGTGGACAAAACACGCCACACATGCATTTACATAATGTATACAACCGTAGATAGTTTGCAGCCAATGTCTTTGTACATTTGTTATACATTTGTTATACATCATTCTGCGGTTTGATACATTTCTCATTCATAAAAACGGACCATTGACAATGGGCCCGCGGGCGCGTACACAGGCTTTTAGTTACCATTTACATGTAGTTATTGGACTCTTCCTTACTTGCCCCTTAGATTTTGAATATCATCAGATTTTAATTTGACTGCCCCCAAAAATATTTCAATGCCCCCCAATTGCCCCTTCCCCCTAAAAATTTGAGAGTTTGGCGCCGCCGCTGCTTAAGAGTCAATTTGTGAGCCACAAGTCTTTGTATGTTTAGAATACACATTTCAGAAAATGATAAATTTCAAGTAACCTGTATTTTCACCTGCTTCTGTTGACCTTTTCTAATAACTTTGGCTCTTTATGCAGTGTGCCCCACCGCTTGTCGTAGCAGAAAATATTGATGAGAAGACTTTGAAACGGGAAGGCGTCTGTGCTGCCAGTTTGCCTACTACTATGGGTGTAGTGGCTGGCCTGCTTGTGCAAAACACACTTAAGTAAGACCCAGACAATCTGAAAATGTTATGTTATTCATTTCAACGATCTTCATGTATTGATTTTTTTCAAACAATGTTGAAGTTTAAAATCGGATTATTCCTCAGTGCTATTTGATTTGACCAATGATAATTTTTAGTTTATAAATGTATTTGTATCTACGTCATGATTATCCATTGTGACTTTCCAGATCAGTTAATTGGATTCCTTCCCGAGTTCCAAATTTGAATTGAGTGAAGTAAACAAAAAGAAAATGAGAGGAAACAAACATGTCACAAAAAAGCTCACACAGTCTGGTAGGGAGTGAAAAACCTGAGAATCACATCCTGCTAGGAATAGAACCATGTTCATCTGTTGTGGGAGACAAGGCAAGTTATGTATCGGCCTAGTTGCCCATGTTAAAAACAGTATAAACATTTCTTGCACCTTTACATTCAGATATCTTTTAGGTTTTGGGTCCGTTACACACTACCTGGGATACAGCGCTCTGCAAGATTTCTTCCCCACCATGTCTATGAAGCCCAATCCGGCCTGCGATGATAGCTTCTGTGGGAAAAGACAAGAGGAATTTCAGGTATTTGTTGTTTTTTTGTACAAATACATATAATGGGCTCTGTGCACAAGTACCACTTCAGTGGCCAGAAAAGGAGAGTTGGGGGAGACCTAGACTGGTTCCCGGTCCATCCACAGCGTATTTTGAACGATCCAAAGTTATTGGGGGCGGGGATTAGTCTTGGAGACCATCGCAAGTAAAATTTGAATGTATTCGCGTGCCGACAACGTCTGATGCTCATGCGAAGACACTGTGGCTAACAGCTTTGGCACATTCACAAAGTCGTGCATGTGCGAACCAGTAGAGTGCAGTACACACACGCTGTGTGTCCTGTCCACGGGGCTCTCAAAAGTGGTAAAAACGCGCCATCTTTTGTTCGCGCACGGAGCCCGTAGCTTAAATGACCTCCGATTCTAATCTGAAACCAAACGTACTCCAGAGGTGCAAGCATGCCTTGGATAGATTTTCTCAGTATTTCAATACTTAAAATAAGGCCCCCAAAAAAGTCTCCTGTGTCTGGTAAGGAGCTTGCCCCAAAAGTGGTGCAGCGACGCGGCTTTTTTTTTTTTACTTTTTTCTTCAAATAGTGCAAAATATATGGGAGTCAAGAGAGGCCACATAAAGCTTATACTTGATCGTTACCCCATCTAAAAACACGTTAAAATTGTGCAGCGGCAGGATTCCAGTCAAACCAGTGAGTTTGGCGGTTTTGAGACATCATCTTACATTGAAAAAAAACCCGGCTACGGCGACGCGCGTGCATACCAGAAACCAGAGACTTTTTTTTTGGCCGAAAGGAGATTGAAGCAAGATTTGAACCTGCAACTACCAGAATATTATATCAGTGCTCTATCAACACTGGTATCGAGCCCTTCGTTGGCCATTGTTCCCAGGTGGATTTCAGATGCCATAAAGCCACAGAAAACTTCATTACTCCTCAGCAACCATTTGGAACTACTCATTTTTAAAAATAAATTTCAATGTAAAAGTTTTCTATTTCTTGTTTGCTTGATTCTATACATTTTCTTGTTGCTCTTTGTAGAGGAAAGAAGCCTTGAGACCCAAGACTGTGGAAGTAGTCAAGGAGGAGGAGATTGTGCATGAATCTAATGATTGGGGTGAGAAATTAACAGATTTATATATTTTTTTGCATTTTACCTTAACCCTTAGTTGTTTTAAAATTGAATACTCTGCAGTAACCCAAATACTTCTTTGTGCTTTTTCGAACAGTCTAAGGACTTTTAAGTCTTAATACATTAATCCATTTTGCATCACATGGTAATTTGCCTGTTCACCAGTTTTTTGCTCAAAAGATAGGGGAAATATCAGTGGTGTAGTCGAGTCCATGACAAGTTCAGTCACAAATAACAGAGGATGAACAATAAAAAGGAAATTTGAACAACTTTTGAGATGAACTTGACAGAACTTGTGAAGACTTGCGCTGGATTCGACTACAACACTGGAAAAATATTTTGATTTTTAAATAATTTTCCATCAAAAGATGGTAAACTATTGGGATAGAATACTGTGACAACCTACCATGCTTACTGGTGCTCCACAAGCTTTCTCAAACGTAGTTGTGTTTATTATTCCTTGGTAGGTATTTCACTGGTTGATGAATCAAGTGTGGATGATCTCAAGACACAACCAGCCCCTGAACTTGCCTCTGGCTTGTCTTATGCCTATGACAAACCTGATGAAACAACAAAGGTATCACTTGTTTACCATTCAGAGGAACTTGATGTTGTTCGGGTGTGATTAGGTTGGGTTGTGTTGGTTTTTGGTTGTGTTGGGTTTTGGTTGTGTTGGGTTTTGGGTGGGCTGGGTTTTGGTTGTGTTTGGTTTTGGGTGAGCTGGGTTTTGGTTGTGTTTGGTTTTGGGTGGGCTGGGTTTTGGTTGGGTTGGGTTTTGGGTGGGCTGGGTAGGGATGGGCTGGGTTGGGTTGGGGTGGGCCTGGTTGGGTTGAGATGGCATGGGCTAGGTTGGGTTGGGTTGAGGTGGGCTCGGTTGGTTTGGGTTGAGTTAACCAGTTCACGCCAGCGGCTGTGTATACACGCAAAGGTTTTGCGGTATTCAGAACGGATGACATAAACACGCAACGAGGTTGGGTTGGGTTGGGGTGGGTCAGGTTGGGTTGGGTTGGGATGGGGTGGGTCAGGTTGGGTTGGGTTGGGATGGCATGGGCTAGGTTGAGGTGGGCTTGGTCAGTTTTGGTTGGGTTGCGTTAACCAGTTCGCGCCGGAGGCCGTATATACACGCAAAGGTTTTGCGGTATTCGGAATGGATTACAGATAAACACGCAACGAGCGAGGCTGGAAATATCTGTCAGCGACCCGCTCGCAGCAAGTGAGGCCGGAAATATGAGTGTGCTGCCCGAAGGTGATGGCTTTAACCCTCCTGGCTTGAGGGCAAGTGAAAACCAATTCCGCACCTCGTTCTGTTTGTCAAAATAATCCCGGCATGAACTGGTTAAGGTGGGCTTCGTTGGGTTGGGTTTTGGTTGGGTTAGATTGTGTTTGGTTGGATTGGGGTGGTCTTGGTCAGGTTGAGTTTGTTTGGTGGGGTTGGGCCGAGTCTGGTCGTGTCGGATAAGGTTTGGTTATGTATAAATGCATTCATTTGGATCGAGTTGGGTTGGGTCGGGTTGTGCCTTTTTATTTTCTTGGGAAGAAATATTCTAGAAATGTTGCAAACGATATTTCAAATGGTTGTGTTGTAAATGTTAAAACCATTTGTCTCTTTGCCTTACAGGACTCTGATGAAGTGGTGGCAGATACCGACCAGTCATTGGATGAATTAATGGCACAAATGAAGTCACTTTAACAAATGTTCAAATGTATCCTAGCATTCCAGAATAACTTATTTATAAAACATATACTACTCATCTATTTGACCTATGTTATACACAGATTGAGAGAAAAGTCAAACCAATGAGATGTTTTGTCATTGGAGAGTGCATGTGATATATACCCTTCTATTATTGATCGTGGCTCTTTGAAATAGTGTAATTTGGAAATTGTAATTGCATGAAAATGATCCTCCTTGAATTTATTGTCATTTTATGATAACAGACCACGTTACTAAACTCATCTTGCATTGCATCTGTATGGCCAACATGACTTTAACCCTAACTCCCTAGGCCCTCAATCCTGCAAAATCCTCCAACTGGCCTCATGGAAAAATAGCATAAGCCTCAATCCTGCAAATTCCTCCATTATTTTCTGAATATGGTCCGTGGAGGGGTGACCACTGCCTGAATCCTGCAAAATCCAGTGTCAGTGACTGTCTAATAATAATAATATTACCGAAGTCTTATATAGGGCACGTATCTACCAACAATTAGGTACTCAAGGCGCTGGAAATTATGTCTATTGTTCCCACGGTCTGGATTTGAACCCATGTACCACGGCACACGAGTCGAAGGCTTGGCCAGTGACATCCTGGAGCAGTACGGAGGATTTCAAGCATAATCCAGGCCTATATTTATGCATGGCCGAGCAAAAACAACACCAGGTCCAGCCCAAGACTTTGACAAAGTGCATCCTACGAAATCAGTAACGCACTTTTGCCATGTAATCTCAATCCTCCAAATTCCTCCACTTTGGCAGAGAGGGTTTTGAAGGATTCAGGGCGGTTTAGGGTTAAATGTAAAAATAAACTGTTCTGCTTTTTATCAAGTGAAAGCATTAAAATGTACTAATGCAGTCATGGAAATGACGGTTCAAGGCCTGATGAACAGGGGTAATAATTGTGAAGTGCTTGAGACCTTTGGTATAAAGCGCTATACATGTATAAGCACCATATTATTAAATATGCCACATAAAGGCGGTCGGAAGACAATAATTTAATTGTGTCTCCAATTTGTGGCATGACACCTGGGTCTTGGACCCCAAGCCACAGTAGTCAAACATAGGCAGAACTCTTTAATTTGTAGAGAAGAAAATGAAGTTTTGGAGAAGTCTTTTAGCAGTATTCTTTATCATCACCATTATCAATTTCATATTCAGGCTTTCTTCAGAGGGGGTGGGGGTCGGGGAAAAAACCCCTCGGAAAACAATTCAGGATCTGCCTCTGATATTTGTCAATAGAATCAAACAGCTGTCATTCTTGTTCAATTGACAATTACAACTGAACATTTCAAAGATGACCAGCATTTTGTGAGCCTATCTTTAGCCCTTATTAACCCTAACGTCCTATAAAGGGCTCTTTGGGGGTCAAGGACCAAATACCACAGAATACTACATGTGTTGTGCACACTTGTATGGAAAGAAATGCATACTGCAGGTTACTCCTGAGTACATGTAATATTTTGTAGCTTTAGTTGAGGTTAGGGTTAAGGCAACTTCACTCAAAAGAATGTCCAACTTCTTGCAGCCGGAGAACAGCAACGTACCTTAAGTATTCCACGTGTACACCAGTAGAAAGCTCTAATTCAGTGGATGTCATTTCCTCTTGAAAGTCCTGTTCTGAAAAGAGAATCTAGCTATGGATTATTTTTATGTTGAAAAGTAACGTCCGGCAAATTGTCGCTTCATCTGTGGAAGGCCGTGTGCTGAAGAAATGTATCCTCCAGTTTAGGTGACAATTGTCAATGGATTTCTAATACTGGAGCATTTTTATGCATGTATTTTATATCAACAAATACATGAACACGTATGTAGGAAATTATATATCATCACTGTCAACAAAAAGCTTGTCAAATATATGTCCTTGCTTATTTTATGCATTGTAGAAAGTTCTGCATGAAAGATGAATGCAAAATAAATCATGAAAAAAGGCATCGTGTTTATTTGATTTTATTTGGTCTTCACACCAGATATATTTTGATCCAAGATCCATTCGTGTTATTACTTACCAGTATTGGCTCCTTCATTATGCCACACCCTGCTTTAGAAGAAGCGGTCCACCACTTCCAATCTGAGTTAACTAACATCTGGCTTGGCAAACTTTGTGGTAACTTGGAGTCAACAAAAAATCATTTAGCACTCCCGCACCCCCCCCCCCCAAAATTGAATGAAAATAAAATAGCAATTTTTTTCTTCTTTTCATTCTTAACAATGTGTAATTTTTTGTTTGTAAATAATTTCAAATGCTCATTTCAAGCACTTTACCCAAGGGCAAAATTTCTTGGAGATCTCACCAGATAAAAACAACCAGTGATCTATAATTAACATTTTTACATGCGCACCCCATGTACCTGCATGATCAGGGCAGGGAGTTGTCCTCAATGTGCTTCAATAAACAAATGATTGAAAGTAAACATACTTTTATTTTCTGTTGAAATTTACTAAGTATAAATGCATAAATTAATATTTATATTTACAAAATATAAACTTGAAAAAGATATATAAATTATGATAAAAATACACCAAGTATAAAACTTGTCAGAATTATGATACAACTAAGAAATATATAAGTTTACACATGTATCAAAAAGATAGATATTTGTACATACGAAAAAATGCTCAATCGTACATCTTTTACAGTGTAAAGTAGAAGCTGCCGCCCTTCCATGAATGTGTTTTAGTTAAAGTTGTAATTGAGTCGATCATATCAATCATAAGTCAATTAACAAGTCAGGTCAGAAGCAACAAGAGATGAATAATGACAAAGGAATGCTTTTGCAACAGTTCATTTAACTCTTTCAGTGCCCGCGAAATTCGAAAAGTTTAACCCTGAAGTGCCCAACTTCTAGCGTTTTTTTGTAATTGTTCAAAATTCTGTCCAAAAAACAGTAAATAAGTTTTACTCACTAAATTTGTTGTTATATCCTTGGTACATTGTAAAGTCAATAGTAGTCACGTACATAATGCTACACCCTGAAACACTGTCCTGCACACATGTGAATTCCGCACTTTTTGCAGAAAATACGAGTGTCAGTGCTGCGTCCTCTCGCAAGAACTCAAAACAAATAAATACAGGTCGGACCTGAATGAAAATGATATCATTAGAAAGACGGAGAGCGCCCCCTTGTGATAACATGCTTACTTTACCTCGTACATGTACGAGGTTTGGCGATTTTAAGTACGAACATTACCTCGTACATGTACGAGTTTGGCACTTCGAACTAACAAATATACCTCGTACATGTGTGACTTTGGCACTGAAAGAGTTAAATAGCTTGTGGGTTGACTGGGGACTGGAGGACTTGTGGTGACTTGTGACCGACTCCATTACAACTCTGGTTGCACTAATCTGTTTTGTGTCTTAGCAAAGGCGTACTATACACAGAGGCCCAACTATGCAACAAACACAACATGGACTGAAAATGTGAAAAAGAGTAATGCTTAAAATGCTTGTAAATGCCAGCCCACTTGGTCAAGTAGGGATGTTCTCACTTAGTTACTCATAAAAAATTTCATTCACACTAATGCCTACAAACAGCAGAACAATGAGATATTGCATTTGCTGTATTCAAACTTGTTTCAATATCGGATTGTGTGTGTGTGTGAAAATACTGTTTCTTCATGACATTCTCTCCCTGTTGCCCCAATTCCTCCCTCCTCCAACCCTCAACCCCCAAAGCCAAACTAATCTGACATTTTCTGGACGGAATAACTTACTTTAATGAATACCATCACTGGGCCAATTGTCATAACAGATGTGTATTTAAACTTGCATTGTCATTACTTCTTAAGTGTTGACATGATTTGAACATCTAAACGGTCTCCAGACATTCTAACCATTATGATACTTTCTGTGTTTATGACCAAAGTTTTCAGAAAGCAACAAATAGGGCATGAAGAATTGACATAAACTGGAGGCACAGTTTGATATATTTTTTTTTGTGTAAAATGAAAGATTGTTTTCCCATCCACAAGACAGAGCTAACATACACAAAGCCGTAGCATTAATTAGGCCCTGGTCGCAATTTCCCATAAAGATGAAACCAACTAAGATTGGGCACACAGTGAAGAAGGCACCGAGTTGTCTGTACTTATCAAGCTACCGGTATGATTTGCTTGAAGCCCAAAGAGAAAAAGTTCAGGGCTTGAGCACTATTTTAACATACTCTTTAAAACAATTTGAAAAAGGATAATGCACTTCAAGCCAATTTTTCCCAAAAGACGGAAATGACAGACATTTGAATACCTTTGCTGCATAAAGTCTGGCACACAAAGGCGGTGCAAGCTTGTGCACATTCAAATGAGGTGTGAATGGACGCATGCACATGGTACATGTATGTCCTACGCACTACTAGAGCTGGGTATACGACACGGCACCATCTACTGTTGGGATTCCCACGGAAATCTTGAAATGAAATTCCATGACTTTTCCAGGACAGATATTTGGCTTCCCATGACGAGTTCCTGTTTCGGCATCTTAGAGCCCATCTGAATTCATATCCAGGATCCGGACAAGTTGCGGGTAGAATCATTCTCTTTGTCCGGAATAAGCTCTGCATTTGTCCCAGACATGTTACAAGGACATTTTCATAAGCAAATGCTTGACTCACCAATACTGACAACTTCATTGTGGGGAAGTTATTCAGAATCCTGCAACTATTATACCCGATACAATGTCTGGAACTCATCCTGTACATGAATTGAGACAGGCCCTTACGAGTCTATTGCAATGGAGGCAAGGGACACCACTCCCTATCAGCCTTCCAGTTTGGCACAACACCACAGATGAGCACCACAAAAGCATCGTAATGGTATATTTAACAATCAACAAGTCTAGAGCATACATGCATAAAGAGGAAGTGTAGTAAACTGGAAGGCAAACTGGAAGACTGCCATAGCCAAATATTTATGCATCATCATGTGTGGCTTGTGCAGGATTCCATGACTTTTCCATGACTGACCATGACGCCTTTAAATGCCCGGATTTTTCCAGGACTATCGGAACCCTGTACTCTTCCTGCATGGAGTCCAACATCTGCCGTACAGTGCAGTCCACAGCTCTTCACTGCACACCAAATGCTTCGCTACCTGCTGTCATTGAACAGAAGTTGCGGACTCATCGGGATGATTGGCCTCACGGCAGAGGAACCTCCGCTGGACGACCGTCGCGAGAACGGCTTCTTGGCGAACGCCGTCTCCATCTCCTTGATATCCATGGCACGTTTGTAGAGGATCGCAGCATTCTGGAAGTCCCTCTGCTCGTAGCGCAGGACGGCCAGGTTGCGCAGTGTCTCAGCTACCCTGGCATGGTGGGGGCCTAGGTTCTCCTCGTAGATACGCAGCGCTCGCTCATACAGTGGCAGGGCTTCGGTGTGCTTGCTCTACAACAGAAACAAATATGCATCACGTATATCACATAACACACCACCAGGAGGAGTAGATAAGATGGGGAAAAAATGCATTTCTGAATAAAAGGCCAAATTTTGTATGAATGGTGGACATACAGTTGGTATCTGTGTTCAAATTACGGGTAGTTGGGGAATATTTTTTAAAAGAAAGAAAAAGAGTGAACTCCTTAATAAAAAAGGTATGTTTCGAATGCTGGTTTTCGGGACTTAATATGATTACAATGAATATACTGAACAAGAAAGCACTCAGAGAGCACAAACCTCCGCCAAGGCTAAAGAATTCCCCGCCATATTGTCACTACACCCAAAAGAAATACTCGCATAAATGATGAAGAATCCTTTAAAAAAATCCTGGTTCCAGACTCAGAGCCGGATCTAATCGAATTGTACTTGTACCAAGGAGCACCCCTAAAGATTTTTTTTATAAAAATCCGTTCTTAATTTTTGAGTTATCTTGTTAACGGACAAACTCATCAACCAACCAACAAACAAACCAACGCCAATGAAAACATGACCTCCTTGGCGGAGGTAACAAATTTATTGGTTTCTACACCAGATACCATGTCACATAATCTGCTAGCTGAATTGTTAAGTAAGCCCATCTTGTGTAAAATTTCATCACTGCATATTCTTGCATTATTTATATGTTAATGAAGTACCCAGGCATGGGGCTAAACTCTTTCAAAACCAACTTTCCAAACCACACTTTCTTCACATTATGAATGCCCTCTGTAAACTCTACCTTCTCCCTGACCTATGGCACTGAAGAACTCTATAAATTGTCAATACTTAGAAAATTAAGGCCAACCTGTTGACAGTAGAGCACAGCCAGGTTGACCAGTGCTGTAGCCACGCTGGAGTGGTTCCCACCCAGGCATCTCTCCTTGGTTTCCACAGCTTGGATGTACAAAGGCTCAGCATCAGTGTACTTGCCCTGTATCAAATGGAAGATTAGTATTCAAGCTGTCACTTGACGAGGCTTGCGTACCAGAATCTGTAACCCCGCCTTTAAAACAAGACTACGTAATTCGTTGGCCAATTTTATACAAAGGGTTCGTTAAAAACATTTTTTTAAACCCTACAAAGTACTAAGCCTGTTGCACATAAAGGAGCACGTCATCTTCAGCAGTCCATCAAACTCGATGTTGACTGGGGTAAGAGTTGTGGTAGAAAGAGGCTTCAGGTAACACTTATTGGATCGCATGTGCACAGGTAATCCAGCTTGAGAGTGGCAGACACGCTTGCATCTGGGGCAGCAGACAGCGTTGTCCTCATCAGAAGGTGATTTGTGACGGCTACCTTGACTTGGGGCTTGATGTAATCATCCAGGCGTTTTCATTCCAAAGCTTGCACAGCCCTTCGCCAACTTAGCTGGCAACATAGCAATGTCTTCCCACGTGTTCACATTAACACCAGCTACTTTCAGATGACACTTCACAACATATAAAACGTTCACTAAAAGGCTCTTTTTTTTACACTACAAAGTACTATACCCGTAGTACACAAAGGATCATGTAGATAGTACAACTTTATGAAGTGAAGCCAACAGTCTGTATTTTTTATAGAATCTAATAATCACCTGTTTTCGATATAGCATTCCCAAATTCCGTATTGATGACACCACTGTGGGATGGTCTGCTGGCAAGAGGGATTTGCGAATGCTCAAGACTCGCTCATACAGAACACCGGCCTTATTCAGATCGTTTGAATCATTGTAGAGTGCTGCTAGATTGTTCAAAGACTGGGCAACGTCTAGGTGCTGTTCTCCAAGTAGCTCCTCACGCATAGACAGGGATCGCTGAAAGCTTTGCTCTGCAGTACTGCAAGAGATTCGAAAATACTAAAATTACTTGGGTTTTTTTTAGTTGTTGAATCACAAGATTTACGAATATACCTTAGTAAAAGATAATACTATGAAATTGGCAAGGCCAGGGCAACGTATCATGGAACTACTGGACAGAAACACAAAAAATGCTTAGAAAATTTAAGTATTAGGACGAAATCGACACAAAATCTGCCACAACAATTCATAAACATTACAGTAAGGCGGGTAATCATTATGTTCTCAGTATGTAATTCTGTGATATAAAAATATACATATTTTGCAGCTCAGTAAAATGGGCACCAGATTTTTGACGGATACTTGACAATTAAATGAAATATGGACACCAACATTAGCAGAGAAGCTGATCATCTTATGAAAATATGATTACAATGATGAATATTATATCTTTAATAGCAAGTGTTGTTGGCGAAATCACAATCTTTGGTTTATTACTTAGCACTTAATTATGTAATTATGATGGCACTTCAAGATATAACTACTATACTTGCTCATGCATGTTCAGTCATTTTTTAATATTCAGTGTTTTTTTTAATGAGAGGAAGCTATATTGCGAAGGACGCAGCTACGGCATGGTCGAGTTGAAGGCATGTATAGGCGCCTTAGGCTGCTGCCATATGTAGCACAGCCAGAGATCGAAAGTGTTGATTTTTGCGGAAGGAGGAAAAGCTGAGAGCCTGGAGAAAAACCCTTACGGCACAGGAGAGAATCAATGAACAACTGTACCCACATATGGTCCGAGCTGGGAATCGAACCCAGGCCACATTGGTGAGGGGCGAGCGCTTTACGCACTAATCCTGCCACCCATGTGATGATGATGTGGTAATGCTTACTCTTATAAAACAAAACAAACCACTCAGGTTTTATATAACATTGCCAAGTAGGTTTTTAGACCACTGAAATTAGACTACTGATGTCTATGCTGGACAAAACAGCTTTATGTGTGTAGCGCTGAAAAATTTATGTTTGTCTCTTCCAAGACAGATGGAAAATACCTGATATTGTTTTGAAGATAATACAACACCCCAAGTTCATTCAACGTCTTGGCCAGCTCAAGCGAATCAGGCCCCGTTGCCATCTCCTGCAGCTGAAGGCTGCGCTTCTTCAGGGCGTTGAGGGCGCTCTTCTGATGGGGCGGGACGTGCGGTGGCTGTGTGCGCTTGAGTATAGAGGTGACTCTTTTCTGCAAGGGTCCAGCCTGTTCATGTCTAAAGGTGTGATGGTAAAATTTATCCTCGTCATATATGCCAATTCGAAAAATGAACATTAATTAACAGACCTAAATACAGGATTGACCCAAAATTGTCCGAGTGGGATCTGAACACACAACCTCTGGATTACTGTACTAGTGCTCTAATTACTAAACTATCCAGTCCTGTATCGGCATCTTCCAGATTGTCAATGTCTTCGTTCACTGAGCTGGAGTAAGTCAAGGACCTAAGATCTCCTGAAGCTGAAACTGAAGGGCCAAGATTTGAAAACCCCTTAGTCTTGATTGATAAGACTGATATCTTTAACCCTAACCCTGTCATGTGCAACACAGTGCAACAGGTGTAAAAAGTCTGCGGGGCCTTGCTGCATTGAGCCATCAACACAAGAGCATATAAACAGCCAATTCTGAAACAATGGGAACTTGTCCCATTGAACAATGCTACAATTGTCTCCTGCTACAGTTCGTGACCACCGACTCTGAGGCAGTTTGAACTGGAGATGTTTTAACCTGATGGATCTTGCTACACTGGGCAGGCTTGTCATTTTGACAAGTGTTACATGTTGCCGCAATTTGGGCAGGTTTTCTTACCAAAACACCCTAGGGGGTTAGGATTAATCTTACTTGTTCTGCTTCTTGTACAGCACCACCAGCGATTCCAGCATTTTCAGCACATTGGGATGGTCCCCGTCGAAGGCATTCTCGCTGATCTCCAGGGCCTGTTTGTAGTAAGCCTCGGCCGTCGCGTATTTGCCCCACTGACTGTGCAGACCGCCAAGCAGATGGAAGGACTGGGCCACACTGGGATGGTCGGGGTCGATGGACTCGCGGATCTCTAGCGCCCGCTGCAATGGACGCACGGCCTGAGGAGTAATTTGATGTTGAGAGACTGACCAATAACAATACAAAACTTCCAGCAAAGCTCTTATGATCAAAAACATGTACACATCTTCATGTACAAAGGGATGTACGAGAATTGTTTTCGTTTTGCTGAAAGAACACTAACTTTTTTTGTGACCCGTGGACAAAACTTTAAAACAGTGTTTGTGTTTAAAATCTAGTAACTTGAAAAGTACATGAGTGATTTGAATGATTCTTGCACTAAATGAAAGATAATGAATTGGGCTTTTACATGTATATCATTGATTTGAAAGTGCTACATGCAGAGCTTCATTACAAAATGATCCAGCTATTTGGACTTCCTTTTTTCGACTCACCCTGCATACTCTACACTGCTGCTCATCTGTTCATGTACTAACTTCATGTATTTAAATACACCTTTTTGTTTTTGCTATTTCATATGATATAAATCAATCACTACAGTTGGACGAAAAAAAACCATCCAGAAGACTAGAAAATCAATGGGGCATTCACCTGAATAAGAAGGCCCATGTCTTTCAGAAATCGGCCCAACATCTCATGAAGAAAGGCTATCGTTGGTAGAGAGAGAACTCCAGCATACACTGACAATGAAACAATGAGTTTGATTTGGTCATAGTCTTATGCACATAACATAACGCTCCTGAGCATTAATTAACCCTTACCCTCTTAGATCTCTCAAAATCCATGAAATTGTTTTCAGAAAAGTACTTGCAGGATGTTTAGGAAAGGACGGCCCACCACATTTTTGATGTACAAGGACAATGATATCACTTAAAAGTAAACATAACACGATTCTGCGATAATTCTGCCAAAAGTGTTTGTTGAGTTACAACTTCTTGATTTTCATCGTTACAATACAAAAAGTAAGTGCATATAAATTGGCAAAAGCAGGGATAACATGAAAAGACACTATTTTAACAGATTTTTTCACTAGTGTTCTGATGGCATCATCAGGAGATATTGTATTGATGTGGTTACCTTCTGCCACTTTCTTGACAGTGTCAAAGTAGACAGTAGCGATGGCCTGTGTGTCCAGACCCACCAATTTCCAGAAGTCCAGCAACTCTGAACAGCGCCCTCTGGTGTACAGCAAGCGAAAGACGCAGAGGTTCGACAGGCATTCATGCAGTTGCTGGCTGTCACCTGTGGACTTGACCAGGAAAGGGAGCTCGTCTGCCACGCGAGCTGTCACAGTGCCTGGCCTGAAGAAAAAAAGTATACCTCTTCCACAAAAGACATCTTACTTTGGGCAAAATTAAAAATTCATAAAATAAGAAGCGGGGTCAGGCTTAACTCCTGGGCAACTGTTCACACACATTCCTTAATGACACATTACATGTACGTTGAACACACTGACAGCAATTTTACATCCTACTTTTACAGAACTTTTTCACAAATTAGTACCTGAAAATGGTTCACTGCCTTTCAGCAGATTGTCACCACACCAGTTACAACCACATTGTGCTTGTTTTCGCTTCAAAGAGGAGAATCAAGCCAATTGACCTATCGCGGTAGAATCGCTTGAGAATCTCGTAAACGAAGCTTGTGAAATATTGTCCAATTACATGATATACAAATGGATGCAGAACGCCCAAATCTGAGACAAACAAAACTTAGTGTACAAAAAATCCATAGGGGTGTCTAAGGGCCATGGCTAACTCGCAAACGGCGATAGGTCAATTATGAAACGGATTCACAACAGCCATAGCCATACCAAGGTGGCTGTTGCAGTGTGCATGTGAACCAGTAATCATGGTTGCGCTGAGTTGACCTCTGAGTGATGTTATGACTATGCCAGTATAAATTCAGTGCTTTCCAAAAGCTAGTAAAAAAATTAGCAATGTTGCTCTGGTGGAACTCAAACCCTGGACCTTCTCCTTACTAGTGCAGACGTCTTTAGAAGAATATGCAGTATGTCCCAAAAAAGTGTCCGTCTAAAACCACAAACTAAATTTTAAAAATCTTTAATTGTGCAGATACTCCTTAACCTTGGCCTTATCCCCTATGAGTTTTATTTCATTTCCCTTGCGCCTCACTGCACAATGGTCAATTGATCACAACAGCAGTTTTGGACACTGTGACCAAGTTCCTTGCCTTAATCAATTTAAGTGCTTTGTTATGTAAGCTGTGTAAAATCCTTTATTTGTTAAAAAGGGCTGCGGTTGGGAATTGTAGTCATTTGCCTGGCTATCAGTCATCATGGCAAGACCTCAAAAATTTAATGCTCAGGGCAAAGGATTCCAATCCCTAACAGCATCCCTTTTCACAACATGAAAGATTTTACAAAGCTTACATAACAAAGCACTGAAATCGATTACGGCAAGGAACTTGGTCACAGCGTCCAAAAATGTTGCTGTGATCAATTGAACACTGTGCAGTGAGGCATGAGGGAAAAGGGGTTTAGGCCATGTATCTGTGCAATTAAAAATTTCCTAATTTTACTTTGAGGATTTGTTGATATTTCAAAAATAGTTATACTGACACTTTTTTGGGAAATACTGCAAGGCCGGCCACTCTGGTACCAGCAAAAATAACTTTACATCTTATCATTGCATACTATCACTTCTATCATGAAGGCCCTTTCCATGGTTAAAGCATAGTGTTAGTTATTGTTCAGAAAATCAGTCAAGCAGTTGCTTTGAACAATAGGTGCACAATGGTTTCTCCATTGATGGGGGCTTCATGGGTGTACAGGGGTCACATGCCTGGATTTGTCTACACTGAAAATGCCCCCCTGCTATAGTCTTCACGCATATCCAGTGCATGTGTGGCAACTTACTGAAGAAGTTTGGTGTAATAGTTGATGAACTGTTGTGTAGCGGCAGTCAGATCCTGTTCATGCACGCCCATACAGTGGTTTACTTGGACTGCTTCCTGAACCTGTGGTACAACATAAATAATGTCATATCACGCTCTTCTCGCCACCAAATATTTCACATCTTCAAAGTACTAAAAAAAGAACCACGTCAATTTGTAGAAAAAGAGATAAGTTAATTCTAGATAGACAGCAATGGCATAATCAATGTCAAAAGGTTTTACTGAACTATGTCACGTACATGTATGCATCATTATGATTTCACTGCTTGTACTCTTGAAAAAGGAGTACAAATGGACTTGGTTTGAAAGTCATCAAGAGTCATGAGTCCATATTTCATAGAGTCCTAATTTCATAGAATCCTAAATTCACACTACACCAGCACCGCCACATTCTGCGCCATGCACGCCCCAATCTCCATATAAGGAGATTTGTTAGTATTACTCGCGAGAGGCACATACCATAACCATAGCTAGAGGGGTGTTTAAAAAAAAAAAAAGTAAAACTGTTGAACAAAATCTTTGGAAATTTCTAATGTTTTTATTTGTTTTGACTTTCTGATAGAAAGGTTTTTATGAATGGGAATAAATTGTGCTTGGCCAGTATAAAACAAGTACGTTTGAAACCGGCTTGGGGCATGGTCGCCGATAATGGCCGAGCCGAAATCAGCGTCCAGGCTCCAAGCCGGTATTAAACGGCCAAGCACATATTTATTCCCTTATTATTGACTTGTTATTTAACTTGCAATGGAGTGGACTGTCACTCTGATCTCATTTACCTGTTCATATGCAAATGTCAATGAGCCAGCCCTGTATGTGAACACATGACGATCCAACAGGTCATAACACAAAGGAGCCCATGTGACCCAGGTCAGGTCAGGGGTCAAGTGGAACAGTTCCGACTCTGAAACGCCATTGCGAGAAATGTACACCAACTGACATATCTGAAATAACAGGAAACAAATCGCATCAACAAGAAAATCATTCAATATTGGGTTTTGCTCTTCACCAACATATTTTGTAAACACTGTATACTCAGTGTTGCCCATGAGCGATTGTGAGAACAAAGTCACTTGGATGGGACTCTAACCCATGACCTCCTGCTTACTAGTGTAGACGTCTTACCACTCGACTACCGAGCTTGCCTGGGTCGGTTGTCTGGTTCGAATCTGATGTAGCAGCGGGTACCGCAATGAAACTATTCATAAGATGGAATTTGCGTTAGGGTGATGAGAAAAAAATCACTCGGATGGGACTCCAAACCACGACCTCATGCTTACTAGTGCAGACATCTTACGAGTGACTTCTTCTCACAATCACTCAGGAGCAACTATGAAATACGTCAGTGAATTTACATCATCCTGACTTAAGTTGGACCCTTTGACCCAAATTGACTAAGTCTTTGCTGTTTGTGGGATCTTCAATCAAGTACCAATGAGAACCTAATGTATTTTATGATTTCTGGAAAAATACATGAAACAAGCATAGATTGTTCACCAATCAACAAATTGATTCAACTCACTCGCTTGATCAATCCACTGCCTGTGCTGCCCTCATACTGCTCCTCGAGCGACTCCAATATATACCTGTACATCTCTACAGTATCACCATGCTGCAAGCATGCATCCAGTTTGGCATCTGCCACCGTGCCACTGGCCGTTTGCGCCAGTTCGTCGATGAGCACGGTGAGGTACAGTGGGAGGCGAGAGGCAGGGGTGCGACAACCGGAGACCACACGGGCTTCTTGCTCGCTGGTCAGGGGGAAATTCCTCTCTTGGTTCAGGCAGTGGAGGAGTTCCTTGGCATGGCGTGGGCTGAGGGCTTCCAGATGAAGCGTGGGCCAGGATCTGGGGAAAAACCAAAGAAATTCCAAGTAACATATCATAAAAGGTCCGGGGCTGAAAGCACACTAGGTTACAGAAAACTGACTTTTTCTTTTAATGTATTTTTTTTTCACAGATAGGTTTGCAGCAATTTTTAGCTCAACAAATACACTTACAGGGAAATTTTTCTCGAAAGCAATATATTATGCAAGATATATATTATTTTGCTATTAAGCAATATTTATGTTCTGCTACATTTACTTGGGGCTAAGGATCATTTGTTGAAAGCAGTTCCATAAGATCTGGGCCAAATTTCACGGCTCTGCTCACCACAGAGTTCAGTGCTAAGTTGTGCTAACAGAAAATTTCTGTGATAACCCTGTAAGCACGGATCCTTGGGATGAACGCATGCGCAGAAGCCGAAATTCCTCGGTAACTTGCAAAATACGCTTACAGTAAGCACAGATTTTTCGCTAACGGTAAGCAGAGCCAGGAGATTAGGCCCCGATACTATTCTTATTAAGCAACTTAATAATTGCTATTTACTACTTATAAAACAAACATATTATTTCACATCATAAAGACTTTAGAAGTTAATGCTATTTTGAAGTACTTCAGTTTTTCTATTAAGAGGAAGATACACATACAGTTACTTCCAGTCTTCACCACAAGTAGTCCAGCAACTGTCATGTATTCACTCCATGTATTAAACCTATTTAATAAATACCTTGGAGAGTTGATGGTTTCTGATTGGTCGAGACTCGATCAAGTGGCCGGGCATTAATGGTGATAATGACCGGCTTCAAAGAACAAGCGAATAAATGGCCCCTGAACCAGCATTGATCCAGCCCCATGGAAGGCAATGATTGGCCAAATTTACAACAGTCATACGGCAGCTTGTAACAATACAGCACTGCACATGCGCTCAACCACGTTTGCGTGAGACTGACGCGTGCGTACGCAACACAGTTGCTATGGGTGCGCGCGCGTAAAGAAGTTTTGAAACAACATCGTACAGCGGCAGTGCACTATATACTGAGGATGTTACGACGAAAGCGTAGATCTATGATTTATTTTCTGTAAATACTTCGCCCATCGACATTTTACCAAGCATCTTTGTAATTCTGGACACAAGGAATGTGTAAACGAAATTTCAGCTTCCTCCATAAGGTAAAAATATGAAAACATTGTTGTAATTTGTTTGGCTACGGCAGCAGAAGTCGTACGCATACGCAATGAAGACGTTGCAATTGTCCAGCGCAGCCTCGGCCCGGCTGTGGTGTATATAACAACGCTTATTGAAGAGACAGGGTACCACGCATAAGCTAAAATATGGCCCATGAACATGAACACAAAAAAGTCTGGAAGTATCGCCGGAAAAAAAGTCACAAAATTGGAGCATTTTAAATGTTTATTTCGTTAAAAAGGTATTTATTAATGGGAATAACAGTGTGAGGATCCGGTCTTCACTGCGTGATAATGACCGGGTTTGGGGGTGACCACTGTTAATGGACCGAGACGAAAACAGCGGTCACCCCCAAACCCGGTCATTATCACGCAGTGAAGACCGGCTCCTCACACTGTTATTCCCTTAAGAAAACAGCCATAGATGCATGTCTTACCTCCAGGCAGGAAGACAGTTGTCAGGATTGGCAGTCACTATGACCCGGATATCAACAGGTAGAGGGTCCAGTAACCATTGTAGGTGGTTCTCCGCATTCTGAACAGAATAAGACACACAATTACTAATAAGACACACAATTACTATTAATAATAATAATTTGGGGACTAATCATCCTTACTCGCAGCTGAGAAGCTGGATTGCAAAGGACGCGGCTACAATGTGGTCGAGCCACAGTCATGTAAAGGCACCTTGGCAGCCAGCCACATCGACCCATATATGACCACGGAGCACAGCCTGAGTTTGAAGGTGTTTGAGTTTTCCGGAAGGAGGAAAACCAGAGGGCCCGGAGAAAAACCCTCGTGGCACAGGAGAGAACCAACGCACAACTCTACTCACATATGGTGTGCAGCTGGGAATTGAACCAGGGCCACAGTGGTGCGAGGCGAGCGCCTTACACACTAGCCACCCGTATTGAATTCAATGCAAGAATTCCTATCAATAATATTAGCAATTTCCATTCCTTACAAAAAACCAGGGTGAATGAAGATCCTGATATAGACCAATCAGGGCACGCTGCCAATTATATAACGAAGGCCACCTGCAGTGGCGAAAGCATTGTGCTAGCTATTGTACAGATCATCAGTAGCTTTGCATAACAATAGCTTGCACTATGTGTGAGTACAGTGATCACATGCCCAAATACGGCAATACATCAGCAACAGTTTCTAGTGGTCATGCAGCAAATGAAAGCAAATACTCAAGTGTTTAAGATGGCCTAGTAGATACACAGCTACAGTCAAAGATTAAAACGTGCTATGAACCTGTACCTGTATTCTGTCCAAGGAATCAATGACCAGAATGATGCCACCAGGAAGGCGAGACGAAACCCGCTCCAGCCATTTAGGGAACTCATCACGGAGTCTGTTAGGCTCACAGGTCAGGGATGGGGGTGACGTCACGTACTGCATCAACTATACAAATAAACACAAAAACATGCACAATGGTGTAAGCTGGTCAAAGGTGCCGCTGGTTGAGTAACTCGATTACTGAAGTACTCGCCAGTAGTTTATGCTACTCGTTGTTCTACTCATGGTTTTTCATCTACTCAAGTACTCGTAGAAGCAGGTATTTGCGAGTAGCAACTTAAGGTTCAGGGTTCATGGCTCAATACGTCCCCTGCAAACAGGGAATCACTCCCTCAACCTCTCTCTCCCTAGGATTCTATTTGTCCAAAAAAAAAAAAAAAGACCCAAAACATTGCACAGCAAGTTTGCGAATTGGCAAGTGGAGTTTAAATTGGGTTGATTGGAAATAGAATCACTTTGAGCTGTTACAAGATGAAGGGAAAGTCTGGTTACTAACTGATTGCGATAGCAAATTGAAAAGTCTGATTGCCAATACTGAATCAGAGAACATAAAGAATTGGAATCTTTATACTCTTGATGAACAAACCTGAACATACTGAACAATTTACAGTGATAATGAAGTTTGCGAGTGAAATATTATTTTGGGGTTAGGTCTCTCTTCGCACAGAATTGCTTATGATATTAACCCTTTAGCACCTGCATTTAAATGTATTACATTGTATTTACTCCTCCATAAATCAACACAAGCATAGAGTGCTGGGTGGTTTGGGGCCGTTATAAGTTAAACTTACTATTCAGGAGGTACTGGTAATATGCCTACCTGCGCTGTTATTCTCCTGATCATGCTGATTGCATCAGCACTGCAGGAGACGGGACTCCCAACGAAGTGATAGACCACCAGACTACCGGGGCTTCTCTTCTGATAGAGGGATATCCATTTGGCTAGGAGCAGTGACTTGCCTGAGCCTGGGATACCACTGACAAGGAACGGTGGGAGGGGACCGGCTGCGGCTACATGCTCATTCAGTCTCTCATAGTGCTGGCAATCAAAGCAGATACATATGACTTATCTTTTATCATGATGGAATGTTTTGCCTCAAAGAGATGTACATTAAAGGGAATATACAAACATTTGCTTTTGCTGTAATTTTCAGAAATGGATGGACTTGGGGGGTAAGTATATCGTAGGAAATATTGTTACACCGACTTGTTTGAAGTTACATGTATGTGTTCGTAGATGCTGGAAAACCAAGAAAAACAACCATGTTCCTGTAGTCTGGTTCCCTGACCCCACTTAAGATGAAACAGAGCAATTTATAGACGTCGGGGAATTGTAAGGTTGGGGAAACAGTCTAGCTGGCTATGTACCCATTCATAGGTGTGTAATCGATTGCAAACAAATGCAACCTAACTGAATAATGTAAATTTGGGGGCAGCATTTGATAAAAGCCGTTTTTTTTCTAAAGCTGGTCGGCCGACCAGCACTGAAAATTGATACAAAAATACCACATTCTGTGCTTGAAAATGACGGCAAATCAGGTGCAATGATTTTACAGGATGCTTTAGACTGTCATTCGCTAAAAGTCCACTAACGTATTTCACATTAATTGGGTTGTTTTTGTTTTTTGACCTTTGCAAATGTTGTATATTCCTTTTAATGTTGGGTTTTCCCTCTCCCTGGCATAATTTAATAAGCACTGTGTACTCAGTGCTGTATGTAAGCCTGTGAGAAAAATTCACGAGCTTACTTAGGTGGAACTCGAACCCACGACCTCCTAGTGCAAACTTCTTAATCACTCAACCACCAACCTTGTTGGGTCAGCTGGCTGGTTTAGAATCTGATATTGCAGTTGGTATTTGTGTTTATGGGTATTTTTTACAGGGCTCCTGACGTGAATTTTACTTGGGCTCATATTTTGTTCAACTTTCTACTCCTCTTAAATGTAGTATGAAAACTATTTGACATCCCTTTTTGGTTAATTTTATTGAGAAGCGCTGTTTTTTTTAAACATTTCAAATTGTCCTCGCTTTTCTTGACAAATGAGGGTGCTGTTGCTGTGTTGTCATTTCAGGATGACACTGTTCAGTTTACACATTTTCTGTTAAATTGTGAACCCAAAAGTTACTCATTGGAAACATTTGTGGGAAAACTTTGCTCATTGGCCTAATGGCATGTACTAAAACAACGAATCACCAAAGAAAGAAATATTTACGATAGCAAAATATCCAAAAATGTGGCAAATTGTGATGCTAAAATAGCTATATCATTAAGGTTTCTGCCCGAAAATGACATCACACTTCTGTTCATGAATATGTAAATTTGCATTAGCATACAAACAAAAAGGCATTACAATGCCCTTAAAAGTGGCAAAATGAAAATTGACAATAAGGTTAAATGGGACACAAAGGTGCATTTCCAAGAGTTGCATTAAACAATTACATTACATGGGCCTTTTGTTTCCATAATTCACAATTCAATGAAGGGAAAAACTGTTAAACCCAATATTAACAGTCTTAGGACACTGTAATGGTACAACTAACCCCATAAATTGTTAACATCAACCCATGATTGTTGGGAGTGTACTATTTGATGCATTAGATCATGTTAACCTTGACTTTGTACATCCTAAATGAATGCGTAGTTATTTGTATGCATACAGGTACATGCACAGGTGATGAACGAAACAATAAAATGGTGTTTCGCACCAAAAGGTATAAAGTGAAAAAGCCGCTCACCTTTTCAAATCCTAGTTCACATGATGATATAGATGCAGTGTTGAGGAACTCGCGCTGTTCCCCGTCACTATGCATGTCCCATTGGCATCCAGCACACAGATCCTCATAGGTAGAGTCCAGCTCAGTCTGAGCGTACTTACGCTTGGGATCAACACACGTATCAATTCCTAGTTCCTGTAAATCAAAAAGGCCATCGCAGGCACAATGATGTAGTTTGTATGCATTCATATTACAATCTGGGAATATTAATTGACCTGTCTGGCCTGTCCATCATAGGCCAATCAGATCACTACTTTTGGTCAGGTGACTTAATAACAGTTGATTTTGGTGCGGTCTACCATCAGGTCAGTCAAACTTGGTCACATGCCCTTTGAGAAATATTCACAAATAAATTGGTTTGATGCAGCAGTGTACATGTACATTATTTTTTTATTGTTATATCGTGTGCTTGGAATTTGTAAATTTCATTGGTCTAGGACGGCCGGGCGTCTGGACAATAAACATGCATGTCACACACTTAGGGTGATATTGCACGCTAGCCAAGGGAAGTTCTTAATATATTATCATTTGTCATGGCAAACCAAGCCCACATATTCGCTACACTGACACTCATCGTCAGCAATTGACACTTGTTGTCTGCGTAGAATTTGTGACATTTCCCTGCGCACTGAATATTCTTGATTCTTGATCTACGAGGTCATTTTCTGGAGCATTTGTTGCAATGTTTTTGGTGGTCACTTTTTGTAACAAGTGATCTGATTGGACAGAAATTGTGCTAATCTATATTTTGGAAGTGTCATGAATAATTAATCGCCCGAGGTCAAACTAGTAAATATGTGGTCTCGGTTTGCCAGGTTACTGTCCTACGACAACCCTAGCTAGCGACGATGACGTGGGCAGGACTAATGGCCAAAGCTCAAACGGATTAACTGGGAAGACTAGACTTTAGATGAGATGGCTTCTTAAAGAGGTACAATTACTGCATTCTTGCATTCATGACAAACTAACTGGACCAAGAATGACAAGTACTAACCAATTGGAGGATTTTCTTGAGCTCTGAAAATGCTTGCTCCGCACCATCTTGGGGCTCATTGTAATTGCTGATGATCTTTGCACATCCCGTCTTATTGACAAGGCCTTTCAGTTCTTTGGCCTCCCCTTGACTCAGTTTGCATCTGCAGTAAACAGAAGGAAAATCGTGGAAAACATCCTTGCCAATTCACCTATAAAATGTCAGATATTTGTCCGGTGACCATCTAAAATTTGGCAGTACGATGCAACTCAATGTATATGCTTGGGCGGTACTGAATTTTGATAGTCCACTGTATACCATCACAAAAATATCCCGTATTTATAATTATCACATACTTTTCTGGGCGGACTATTACCGTATGTCATCAAAATACAATAAGACACGTGGTGATAGGGAGTCTGCAATAGTCAGCATGGACAGAACTTCAAAGGCCCTGCAGGATGAATAGTTAGTACAATTTTCACCTTATCTCGATACCATGACAAAGAGGAATTTAAACAGTTATACAGGGTGGCCCCCAAAAAGGGAACAACATACTTCCACTCCCCTGAGACTCAAACAAGCTATACCATTCCTCCTGGAAAACACACAGCCTACTTCGAATTTCACTCTTCCCCTTATTTTTTACTTGCATCAGCACTACAAGTGTGTTACACAAACAAAGAAAGTACATGTTCAATGTGTAATTCTTACAAAAGCAAATTGCAACATTACTTTTACATACCCTCTGAATGCTGGATTGCTGAAGCAGAAGACAGCTGATCTTGCTCCGGGGTTGTTCAGATGACCTATCTCATACTCATCACACGTAAACCTAACAAAGACAAGAGGTTAACCCTCGGTCATTCGTAAGGACAAACTGTACTGATATTGGCAGCAAATTATATCACAGTAAGGTTTCAAAAATCATTTTTGACCCTCAACCCTTGACCCTAACAGCATTTTAACATGATTTTTCAAACACCTTGGGGGATTAGGGTTAAATTCATTCTAATCAGGGAATTGTTCTAATGTCCTAGTCTGTTCACAGTGTTACCATTACAACATTTAAGAAATCTGCTTCAGAAGTACCGGTATCCATGCACAATTTGTGGCATGGTGTGCCTTTTGACCATGTGGTGAAATAGCAGCAATTTGATAAATACGACCAGATAAAAAAACAGGCATAAATTTCCTTATTTTTGCACTCATGGGCTTAATTTGTACATCACACGAAAGACACAAACACAACACTTTTGATTTTAATCACTCCTTGACAGCGAAAATCCTGGTTAAAAAAATTGAGTTTTGAACTTGTAGTAAATTATTCATGCTCTAGGATTTCAACATGACTGCACAAACAGTCAATAAACATTAAGGTTGTCAGGAAAGAGTTATTCAGTATAAGGTTGAACAAAGTACTTGACTTTGGCATGTCAAATTGGTTGAACCTACAACCTCCTACTTGTCATACAAGTACTCTACCAATTGAGTTATCCAGCCCTATGCTGGAGGTCTCTAAAACTGTCCGTGTCTTTGTTCATGGGCTGCTAGTTAAAGGTATAGTCCATCATTTGTAATTTGTGCATTTTGTTCGTTTGAAGCAACAAAAGTGCTCAATATCTGAAGAAGGATGCTGAACAACTAACCTGATGAAGTTTCAGCTTAGCTTCAGCTGCATTTTTCGAGAAAAACAACATTCTAGGATCTCGATTTCAAATCAAAAGTTGCTGAATCATGTTTTGAATTGGGCCTGAATTCAGCGTCAGAGACACGTTCTCACTGAGCTGATTGCAGCTACGCGATGAGCCGACGAATTATAGCAACCTCCCGCGCGTGTTCCTCGTGCCAACGCTTGTGCGCGCTTTGCTGAATAACAAATCGAACTACTAATTTGAATTGGAAAGGCCTTCTTTCGTTGATTTCTTCAAAATGACAGCTTGCCAGAAAGAATAATTTCAGAGAAAATTTAGTCCCCTTACTATCTTTCAACCAAGTATGTTTTTCAACAATAATTACGCCAGTTACTTTTTGGATAGCTGCAAATGATGGACTCTGGCTTTAAGAACCGAGCGTGTATATTAAACATGTTAAATGACACAATCATTGCAGTTTTGCAGTGGAGTCCAACACAAGTCCTAACAGGTCACTGCAAGTCATTCAGTCCCAAATCAAATCACAAACTATTGAAATGAACTGTGACAAAGGCATTCCCGTCACTTTGTTCATCTACTGCTATTTGGTAGAGCACCGAAACAGTAATCCGAGGGTCGCAGGTTACAACTCAAATCCAGTCAATTTCTTTGTTCAACGCTAAAATAATTATAATGCACCTAGTCAGTTTCCCTCTATGGTTTCTTTGAAAATTTGTAGTAAAAAAACGGTATCCTTTCTGAGTGATCCCCGTTTACTATTTCCCGAATTTGCAACATTGCTAATGTTGCTTGCATCGTGACTTTGGGCATGGTTCCTGGCTGCATGGCATATTGGGTTTATGGCTTCTGACTAGCGCCCCTTCAACAAAGATATTGACTATAAAATTGGGAAAGTTGGTAGAGCACCGACACAGTAATCTGGAGGTCGTAGGTTCAAACTCCGCTTAAGTCAATTTCTTTGATGGGTGGACTTGTGACTTGACTAGTGATTTACTTGCGACCGGATTCATAATGGACTTATAATAGACTTGAATTCAGCAACATATCACTGTAAAACTTACAGATTTGTTTGTTCTCCTAGAAAAGCCAGAAAGATACCGCAGTCATTAACCAGCCGCTTGTGCATGCTATGTGCCTTCAACAGCTCATCATCTGAACATTCTTTCATTCTTTGTTCAGAGAAAGGCAGGTGGACCATCAGGAAGAAACGCCCCTCTAACTCACACAGCTCTCTCAGTTTGGGTTCAAATTCCTGCAATAAAAATTACATAATGTACAAAATCACTTTGTAAGGCAAATTTTGGTGCTTTCCAGTCTGTTACTCCTGCTAAGAACTAGGGGCGTGCATTTACAGTTAGTACCAGTGTTGTAGTACTCGTACTCGGTACTCGTACTCGAGTACTTTTTAACTTGTACTCAAATGTCAAAGCACTCATATTCGACATGTCAAAATTGTACTCGATCATCAAAGTACTTGTACTCGAATAGCAGTACTCGAAAAAAAATGGTATAGATTGACTTACCACTGCCTTATTTTATTATCGATACATTCAGTTGGAAATGGTTGATTGGGTTGCAGAGAAATCAAAGTTTCCTGTTTTTTCCTCTGTGCACGGCCAAACACATTTAACAGCTAGCCGTGAGTGGGTCTGTATATCAGTCTGACTGGGACTGGGCCAACTACGCACAATGAACCATTTGCCATTTGCCGTATGGCCGTATAGAAGTACTCGTACTTGGAATACTCGTACTCAGAGACCTGAACTAGTACTCGGAAGTACAAGTACTCGTACTCGATAACCTAAGTACTCGGCAGTACTCGGTACTCAGAAAATAATACTCGACTACAACACTGGTTAGTACATGAACTGGGTGCCCGATTGAAAAAGACACAGGTACCCGGGTACCCTTAAGAAACCCAGTGCAAACTTCAGAAGTTGCTGTTGAGATAGTTTACAAAGATCCACACGATAACACTACCCCATCGTCAATGTAAAATATCTTTTGTTTTCCCATGTGGTCTTGTTTTATTTTGAAAATTCTCCACATATTACTTCAAAACCTTTCTTTTTCATTGTCTGAGATGTAACTAAGTAATTTGTAAAGTTGGTTACAGGTACCCGATCCCATAATATGGAACCGGTTCCTGACATTAATGGTCGGATACTCGGGTTTATGATGCACTTCTATTCTAATACACACGGACAACTGTTATTGGCCTTGCTGTGGTTTCTAAACATTAAGAACCATTTTGTATAGTCTTTCACGAGTTCCATAATTTTCAACCATGTTTTGCAATGAATTAAACTGTATTCTTATTTTGTGTTTAAGCCCTTTCCTGGGCAACAGGGAATGATTCTAAAAGGTAACAAAATGGCGTTTCTATCGTTTTGGAAACGAACTCTTCACATGCAATGAAAAAAAAAGCAAGACAACGTTTGTCGGTACCTTGTGCATGATCTCCACTTCAGCCTGCATGCTTTCAGGGGCAGAGAGATAGACACGTAAGACATTGAACAGTGAACTCTGTGGTAGGCTAAGCATAACTTGATTCCATGCAACCACAGAGATGGGGCTCTCCTCTCCTGTAAAAGGGCAATAAACATAGTTTATCATAAGATGGAATTTTGCGTCGGGGTGATGTAAATCAAATTAGATTTTGCCCTTCACTGATGTATAAACACTGTATACTCAGTGTGTTACCTCCCGAGTGAAAGTTGGAAAAAATCACTCGGGTGGGACTCGAACCCACGACCTCCTGCTTTCTAGTGCAGATGTCTTACCACTCGACCAACGAGCTAACAGGATCAGTTGTCTGGTTCGAATCTGATGTACATAGCAGCGGGTACCGTATTAACTATTCATAAGATGGAATTTTGCGTCGGGATGATGTAAATCAAATTATGTTTTGCCCTTCACTGACGTATAAACACTGTATACTCAGTGTATTACCTCCAGAGTGAAAGTTGGAAAAAATCACTCTGGTGAGACTCGAACCCACGACCTCCTGCTTTCTAGTGCAGATGTCTTACCACTCGACAACCGAGCTAACAGGATCAGTTGTCTGGTTCGTATCTGATGTACATAGCAGCGGGTACCGGTAGCCCAGGTTGGACGAAGTCTTCATTGCAATACGACTAACGTCCAGGGCAAGAATTCTCTACATGAAACCACCCAACATTTTTACCAGAGTTTTGCTATGTTTTACCTCGTTATAGAAGCTTATTTCACGCCTACATACTCTATGTGTCCTTATCTGTTGGGCTGATGGGTTCAGGAAGTCCATATGCAATGCTGACTGACGTTAATCAGGAAAATAAAGTCTAAAGCAGCGTTTAACTTGTACGTGTTTGTAGTCTCTTTTCATCAGTTTATTCCAGAGTCGTACGTCAAGTACAATGTACGTACGTGCGTACGAAAGTGCGTACGCACGCTAGCGCCCTCATTTGTTTAGTTTTGGTTTGAACCGTGACGTCACTCCAGTCAACCGATGTCGCGAAAACGCTCAACCAATGACCAAAGCCGAAACGTGTTTCTGGTAACTGGCGCGAAAACACGCTCGGTCATTGGATTAGCGACCGCGCCTTCAAGTAAGTACGCGTGCGTATGAGGGTGGTTACTAAGCAAATCGCGCGTGCGCACTGCATATTCATGTGCATAGTCTGGCCCCCGGACCAGACGTGATATGAGCGTCGAGAATAATTGTCCGGTCTAGGGAACCAGACTACACGCTGCACAGACGTACAGCATGTACAACTAGAATAGACTCGGCGGTGAGAAACTGATGAAAAGAGTCTACAAACACGTACAAGTTTAACGTTGCTTTCGAGTTTATTTTCCAGATGAAGGTTGGTCAGCATCGCATATGGAATTCCTGAACCCATCAGCCCAACAGATAAGGACACATAGAATACTACGACGTAAAAATTAGCTTCTCCAACAAGGTAAAAATATTGAAATTATTGGTCAGAAATGTTTTCGTTCGGTTTTGAGCACTTTTTACCCAGGACTCCCTACGTAACGTAGGGAGGAAAGGGAGTCCACCAGGGCTACGGGTACTGGGTACCGCATTAACTATTCATAAGATGGAATTTTGCATTTAAAGAAAAAGAGTTAGGTTGATAAAAAAGGTAGATAAAACACAAGCTGGCTGGTTTTAAACACTTTTTGAGTGACACATGAAATGTGTACTCCTAAGAAATCTGGTCCCTTTTACTCTTTTATTGGTTGAATGTTCACAATCTTCACTTAAACATTCACAATACTACCATTGAGTCTGTATTTCACGAGTCCTAAATTTATACTACACCGGTTCCGTCGCGTTCTGTGCCACATCACGCAGTGTGGGTCATTTTGCGCCAATCTCCACATACAGAGATGTTTACGACTACTCCCGAGAGGCACACACCATAACATAGCTAAATGGGTGAATTCAAATTGTTGAACAAAATCGTTGGAAATTTGTAAAGTTTTGACTTCTTTTTGACGTTTTATCTCAAAAGGTATTTATGAATGGCAATAAATACATGCTTGGGCGATATTAAACAGGAATGTTTTAAATCGGCTTAGGGCCTAGTCGCCAATAATGTCCCTTGCCCAAGGCAGCACTGTTGCCAGCTCTGGGCATTAGGGGGGAAGGGGGGGGGGACACAGTACAAACTAGGGGCCACACCACAAGAATAAACACACTTATATATACTTTTTACGCTTATAGTTTTTGCCGATTGGGGGGGGGGGGGGGGGCCCTGGGACCCCCTTGGCGACGGGCCTGGCCCAGAGCCAGTTTTAAACGTACTTGTTTCCGGCCAAGCACATATTTATTCCCTTAATACTACACATTTCCAATTTGTTTTGACAAACAAGGTTAAAGCATCTGTGACCTACCTCTGTTAAGATTTGTGAAGGCACTGTCAATATCTGTCAGATTAGGGTAGACCTCATGACCCCTTGGTAACATCTGGAGTTGTGACATGCTGCCAAGCGAGGGCTCACTCTCCAAGGCTGTCCACCAATCACCTGGGTAGGAATTGCCTACAGCCAAAAGAAAACCAACCTGACATCAGAATTTGTTAAGTGATATGCCCAACTGGGATGCTTAGAATGACGTGTTGTAACTTGGGGTCTATAGTTTGGGCTTTGTTCAATGTAAGTTACTGGTAGTTTTGGGGCTGGGCCTGGGACTGGTAGTTTTGGGGCTGGGGCAGTATCGGGCCTGAAGCTGGGACAAACAACTGTTTTAGGGGCTGACATTTGGATATTTGTAATGTTTTATTTTTTTTTTAGTTTCTTTTTTATTTGGATGTATTTATAAGCACTGCGTACTACATTTATTATTTGTCTCGACTTGATGCAATTCAATCTGTGATTACCACATCTTGTCTTAAGGAACAAACAAACCATTTATAATAATACATATATCCAGGGCTTTTCTCTAAGCTGTCCCAAATTTGTATGGATCATTAAAAAAAAAATTATGTAACTGTGTGTGGAGAATGGGGGGGGGGGGGAGGAATGGTCCTTTTCATATAATTTCATTTATCATTTCTCCAGGAATAAACACTAACAAACAAAGATAATACAAAAGTGTCAACTAACAAGAAAATCACATTTTCACGTTTGCTTCTGAATATGGAAATTCGCATTTGCATAAAAACCAAAAAGTTGGAAAGCAAACAAATTGAAAATAAGGTTAAATAGCACACCAAACATGCATTTTAAAGGATCGCTTTAAAATAATTCCACTGTATGGGCCCTTCAATCTCAGATACGTCCTTTTAAACAAACAAAATGAAATCATGCAATCAATCATTGGCTTTTGGGAAACACCTGTTGAATAAATGTAACATCTTATTGAAGCACTGATGCACAACACATACATGTACCTGTATCAAGTGAATTAACGACGCCATTTTCTCCATTCATTGCAGCCATGGGTGGAACATTCCTATGCAGTGTCGCTTCAAGGATGCTCCTTGCCTTCATATGATCCCGGATTTCACTCTCTTTGGTCTCGCGGAAAATCTGTAAAATGATATTAATTAAGGATGTGAATCTACGTTTAATTTGATAAACGTTTAGCAAAATTTTCCCGTAGCGTTTAAACGTTTAAGCGTTTAGTCAACACTTCAAAAAGACTGCCGCCTGTGTCCCAGTATAATGTGCCATAACTGCGGTCACATTTATATACACTTGTATACACTTTAACCACCATTTTTCCATGTTCTTTTGAAGTCTGCAGGCTAAATAAATTAAGAAGAAAAGAATCGTCTGCATTCTGCAAGTGTTGTTGAATCAAATGAACATACACTCAAGAAATGTCAAGGCCTGAAGAAGATCGTTTATTTATATTTTTTAAGCCCCAAGTTTCTTTAAAAAACAAAACCACACCTTTTATTTAACGGAATGCAAACTGCATCCAAATTCCAAAATATGAAAAACTTTGCCTGCACAAATTTCCCAAAAGCGGCAGCATTCTTGAGCTGCTAGTTATCTACAGGCTGCTAGTTATCTGCAGGCTGCCAGAAAAATAGTCACATCTGATTTCTTGCTACGCAACCAGCAGTCCCGGCCCAGGCATCACAGGGGAGCCTCCTAGCAACATTATTTCTAGGCAACCTGAAGTTGCGCTTGGTGGAAGGAACGTCATATTCATGAAAGCAGACGGACCCGTGATGAAAGCAACCAATGGCGTATTTATTTGCCGGGAACCGGATCATTTCATTGGGTGAGATACTTTCATCACTGTTTATCATCTAAGAATCTTCCAATTACTGGCGGCAAGTCATCAAAGGATTTAAAGTTCGATGGCCTACAGGTACAGCTGAACCCAACGGCATACTTTGTAACAACGAGAGCGGCATTGTATCAATTTGAACAATGCCGCTGTCAATCATTCTCTGGAAGGGCTTTTTCGGAGCTGGATTTTATTTGGGCATTTTTTTTTCAAAGGCCCCAGGGTGTTTATACGAAAAGTGAGGGAAACTGAAATAAACATGGAATTTCATTCCTGTAAAGGCCTGTATCGTGTACATGTACATGAATAAATGATACATAAATGTATTTTCTTTTTTTGTTGTTGGTTTTTATTCGGGGGGTTGATATTCCAAATAATTAATTGAATGCACGTCTTTTTTTAAACTGGACTAAAGCACAGTAAGGCCAGTATTGCTTGTCCAGATTTTATTCTAAACCAACTTGACAGGGGCCTTTTTTTGACGACTGCGTTACCATTACTTGCCGTTGGGGAAAATGTTAACTGACAAGAATTTTAAAAAAGTGCCCTTAATACCAATGGGTCTGTATTTTACGTCCTACATGCATCCTTTGGTCGTCACTCCTCAGGCAACCAAATTTAAATGTTAAAAAAAATAATAAATATCCAACAATTTTATTTTTCGATGTAATTTTTATAAACAGGAAGGTTTTTCTGCCAATGATAGCAAAATTTAATAATGTTCCTACAGAGGTAGAATTTTTTTCACGTATCACAATATATTTTCAAGCGGGAGGGCTGCACTTTTGCGTAAAACGAGCAAATAATCTACGTTGATATCGCTCTTTAAAAAAACGCAATTTCCTTCCTATAATAGATCCCGTAATATGCCATCGCCCCTCAGATCCCGCCCTAAGATCCAAAAAATAGTTTTTATTTTCCCCCCGCCAACACCAAACACATTCTGGATCATCGTCATCGATTTCCTTGTTACGGAAGCGGCAGTAACTTTTTTTAAGGGAGCGGCGGACTTTACAGCACTTGGGGGAAAAAAATAATTCCAATGCATCAAAATACATCGTTTTAAATAACGCCTTCACTTGAGTAGCTTACGGGGGAGCAGGGTAAACTTTTTTTCCTTGCCGGTTTTAAAATCATTATGAAAGTGCTAGACATTGGTTTCATTACTGCACACATCAAGTAATGATTTCAGCAAATACAAGCACATTCAGAGAAAAATACAGAAAACAGACAGATTCAGAATTGTTTTAAAATTCAGTATAAGAATAACCTCAGGAGAGGCGACGTCCCCGCCCGGCATCGATCTCGGCCCAGCGGCGTATTGAAAAAATCAAACACAACCAATTGTATACACTGTGTATCAATTTGACACAAAACAGTTGCTGATCATGGAACAATGTATTAATAAAACTTCTTGGAACGTGATCAACTATAAAATGCGTTTCTAATTCTTTATAAGTTAAACAAAATAAACATCATAGATTCTTTGCAAATAAAACTGGAGTGTAGATTGCGCAAAATACAAGGTCCCATTTTTGAAATTTGAACTCCGTTTAAACGTTTGGGAAAATTTCTAAACGGATTTGATTTTTTTTTTCGTTTACACGTTTACACGTGTAAACGTCACATCCTTAATATTAATGGAAATTACAAGTGCGTGTGGACAATAAGATCTGGTGCAAAATGCCATGCTGATGGCACATATGGAACTCCATACTTTTGGTCAATTTTTAGAACAGACCATTCGACTGACCGACCATCCACCAAGTGACATGTTGAAGATCCTGCCATTTCCTCCTTCAGGATACCAGCCAACCACTACACAAAATGGCGTCTACCTTGTTCGAGGAAGATGTTGTACAGCGCTAGTGCGAGTGCACAAAAAGATCTGCCTGTGTTGCAAGAAGTCTTGCAAATTCTTGTAAGAAATAGATCAAATTGATCCCTGCCAGAGATGTAAAATGCGATGCCGAAAAACATGACTCCGAAAAATGCAACGACAATGGCACAAATGGAACACCACACTTTTGGTCAATTTCCAGGACAGACGGACCGACCACCAAGTGACATGTAGAAGCTCCTGCCAGAGCTTAAAAAGAATGATTACTAACCCAAACTTTTTCTGGGATATTTCACAAACATTGAAAAAACACAGAGAGGGGCAGTAAGGCCGAGTTAAAAAAGAAACATGTTTAGCATTCTGCCTTTTTGAAAAAAAGGAAGGAGGAGGCCCTTTTTTCTTCTTTTCCTCCAAAATGGCTGCCAGACCGGGTTATTTTTTTTTTAAATGGCCACCACTTGGACTCAGGAAATGACATACCAGCTTTATATGGGCTAGATGCAACAAAGAGGCCAAAATGATGTCACCGTTTAAAATGTATCATTTTTTTGGTAAAAAAAACAAACAAACAGTGTCCAAAAAGGAAGCAGGCGGGTATATATTTTATTTAATTTGGAACAGTGAGTAAAAATTTAAAAAACCTGGGCCCAATTTGATGGTGTTGCAAAGCACACGATATTTTGCTAACCGAGCCTCTGTCTATTTCATGGAGACTGTATGCAGCGAGCACAGCAAAAGGTTCTTAGCAGAGAAAAAGTTTGCTTGAATCGGTGACATAACAATAGATATACTGCATGTGCGCAACTGTTAGCAGATCCACGCCATGAACTAGTGCTTAAGGTTAGCACAATTTTAAGTTAGGACAACTTCTCCGCCAACTGTTTAGCAGCAGCTTGAAATTGGCCATGGCCTTGGATTTTTTCCAGCTTGATTTCCATGAGGTTAGAGCGCACCTTAAATTGGCGTTGCACTTTATTCCTGTCCTGCTCAAAGGTTGCTGCCCTCTCCAATGCCTGATACTCCGCATCCAAAGCCATGTCTCGCTCTTGCCGAAGCTTATTGCACGTTTTCTGCATCGCCTACAATTAAAACACGATGAGAGCATTGAAAGTACATTTTGTTTTTGTGGTAAGAATGTAAAAGAAACACCAACTGTCATTTATTTTGGGGTAGCAGGTCTACCAATCACCATAATTACTTTGCTTTTGCTGCTCCAAGCCCATCTGGAAGTAGTGTTCTGTATTGCAGTTCTGTATTGTTGTTGATAACTGAATAAATAATAACAATGATAATAAGCATTACCCTGGACTGGACATTTGAAAGACATTCCCAGAGACTTGTGCACAAAATTTTTCAAACTTCAATGTGCCCTAACCCAATATTCTCTTGTTTTTTCCCCACAAATTTTGGTATGTTTATTAATTGGCAGGGTAAGCCTTAAGGATTTTTTTTTTGTATAGCAAAACTTCTATGCATAGCAGTTTACCAATTTTGCATAGCAGTTTTGTTATACTCAAATTTAGCCTCGGCTTTGCAATTACTATTTACCTGTCAGTGTCAGACTGTACAAATTACAAAGCAATAAGAAGTAACTTACGTTAAGCTGTGAACTTAATGACTCATCAGTTGTCTGTTTATTTCAGGAGCTGCATGCTTGCTGAAATAACTTTCGAGTGAAAAAGCAATTTATTAACCCGGGCCATTCCTGGCCCGGGTCTAGATCCGCCTGCCAATTATTGGCAGTATTTGCCTTGATACCGGTAGTTTTCGTAGTAGCCATGTTTTCATCAATATGCTACACAGCCCACAAACGACAACACAGCTGGGATTTTGACGTTTTAGTTCCCACGAATCCCACGTGCGTCTCAAGTGATTTACTTGAAGGGGTAAACCCGTTTTCTGTGTCGGCAAAATGTTTAAGATAAACCGACAAATATCTAAAGAATAGTGATGAGAAAAGGGCTTGATTTACCCGGGTGCACGCATGCACCAGTGCATGTAGATTTTAGCTTGTGCACGTAGCTTTTTTTGCTGAGCATGCACGATGTGCATGTAACTTTTTTAGCCACCAAAATACTCATTTCATGCATATATTTACCAGTGAGTGAGAATAAGAACAAAGTTTGTTGAATACTTGACCAGATAGTGTACAAACGTGTTATTTCTTTTATAATCCATAAATTATTCCTCGCACAGTCGCAGCAGATTCAAAGTACGAGGTAAAATCTCAACGTACGTCCTGCAACCTCCTCTGATCATGCACGTGATTTACCACGTGATACATGCTGCGGATAATTTGGTATCGCACTGATGCTCCGGGCATTCCTTATGTCCAGATCATAAGTGCGATTCCAAATTATTAGCTGCGTTTATCACGTGGTCTCGTTATCAGACGCCGCCTGTTTACAAACTAAACACGTACAGATTTTATACAGCTGAACAAAATTGACGTTCTTTTTCAGTATTTAAGCTTAACTAAATCAAAACATGATGGATGTTTACCATGTCCGATAGTTGTGGAATTTAGTGGACCGAATTTTGGTGGCAAGTACACTTTGTGTCAACTTTTCATGATCAAAATGTTGTATAGCAGTTTTGCGATGCACTTTAAAAATTGCGTCGCAGTCGGCCTCGAATGTGTCGCAAATTGCGATGCCATACCGCTTATTGCGGACCCTGTTAATTGGACCAGGAGCAACAAATATAATCTAATTGCGACAATAAAATTGTGCCTCTGAAAGGGGGCTGTGACATTAGGGAGACATGAACATGTCTCCCTTATGACCGATGTCTCCCATCGTGCGAAGAAATTACGATAACGTGTCTCCTGAGTGGTATCTTTACACGTTTAATAATAATACCGAATGATCCATAACAGAAATTATCCAGAAATTAGTTTGAGGTTTGATTCATCTGCTGAAAATAAAGACTGCTGTCATTAAAAAAAATTAAGAATGAAAGCCCCATTTTACAAATTTAACCCTTACCTTCTCAACTCCATTAATCTATCCCTCCAATTTGGGGATTTTGGTAGGCAAGCCATTCCAAATCCAGCAAAATCCACCTATAGTGGTGGTGGATTTCAGAGGATTTGGTCTTAAAGTTTAGGGACTAATTTATATTATATATATTTACCCTAAATTAATATCTGGAGTCTGCGCTCTAAACTTGCAGCGGCTTCTTCTGGACTCCTGGTTGTTCGTCAAACTTCTCTTGGTTTGGTCGATGATAATTATTTACAGGCGTATATACAAAAACTAGTGTGTCCTTCAACGGGAACAGTCACTGTAAGGAGCAAACACTACCTAATGGTTCCTATTCCTGTATCCAGACACATATGGCATAAAAATGGCGACTGGAACTGTAGAGTAGACGACTATAACACTGCTACATGTAAGTCTCTACACAGCGGCGGAGTGGGGTGGTGAAAGCATGCGCTCCTGGTTTATATACCGACGCGTAGAATGGAATGCCCTGCCCTGCCCAGTCCAAAGAACTGAACACAATGGGCAATAGAACACAAAAATGCCTTGGCCACTAGGGCAGAACTCGGAACAAAAAAGGACTTTAATAACTGACTTTTTATTTCTTCGGCTAGGACTGCACATAATATATACAGCTGCTGTAGGAATTTCACTACAAAAGCATTATGTGAAGCAAGGTCAGTGATGAATTTTGGCGGTTTGGTCCAGTGCTTAATAAAAGACACTAGGTAGGGTTAATGGATAAAATGTTCGTTTAAAATAAGTTGTCTTTAAACAGCAACGGTACTGTAAATGTTTAAATATAAACTTTTATCACAGCCTGAGTGTTTAATTTCAATGGACTCAGCAATACTTTTCGAATAAATATACTTGGAAAAGAAGGGTTAAATGTTTCTACCTGGAGCTCAGCCCGAAGCCGTTTGTTTTCACTTTCCAGCTTCTTCTCTTTCTTGATCAAATCGCTCATCTCGTTCTGTTTGCCAATCTTGTACATCTCAAAGTCCCGCCGGACTTTATCCACCTCTGAACTGTCCATGTCCACAGACAGGGCCGACCTCAGGCTCACTCCTGGAATGCAATGTTTACATGTTGAAATGTGAAAACAAAAATTGAAAACTAAGGGCTGTCCCGAATATTTGATCACCAATTGAATATTCAAATAGTTTTTTGCCGGTTTGAATATTTGAAAAGGGAAACTATGCACGTGCTCGCTTGACTGTGGAGTCATTCAATCGTAATGTTGTACTTTTATTTGTCGACGGTCACTTTGTTGATGACACACACATGTACATTGGTCCCATTCTTCTAGCTGGGTAAAATCCCTGGACAGTTATGGGCTCCATGCACAAGTACCCTTTCAACGGTCAGAGGAGAGTCGGGGGAGACCTAGACTTGTTTCCCAGTTCAGGGGTGTGAGTGACCACTGATAAAAATACAATGTAGCTGAAAACAGCTGAAAAAGGTGTAAAAAAAGAAACTTTGGAAATCTCCTATACTTTTGTACACTGCTTTGGGCAATTCTCCATGGGAGAGCAAAAAATGTCAAAAATAAATATTTACATATTAAACCTATTTTGCACTTTTTCCAGACCTAAATTAAATGGGGAATTCAGTTCAAAAAACGAAATTGAAAAAAAAAAAAATTTCTGGTAAAAACAGTGATTTTTGCAATTGATGATGAAAACGCTCAGATTTGTTAAAAAATATAAATTTTGTGTACATGTATGTATTACTTTCTGAATTACAGGGAAAAGGTTTGATTTATTTTATAATGTTACAAGTTACTAACATTACTCAGGGTCATTAAAAGAAATCTATATATATAAATATATATATAGGTTATAGTGTAGGCCTTCATTTAAAAATGTCACAATTAGCACGTAATTCCGTTACCAAAAAAAACGGCAAAAGTTACTTATTTCACAAATTTTCTCGTTTTTTTTCTTCAAATCATGTATGTTGAGAAAAGACCCTACTATAAACATAAATGAAAAATAAAAACTTTTAAATAGTAATTTCTTGGCATTTTTCCAAGTGGTAACGGAATTACGAAATGGTAACGCAATTACAGTAACGGAATTACGCATGCACAAAGTATGCACATTTTCTCCAGATTATGTACATGTACATGACATATTGAATAGGAGATTTGCATACATACCGGTTTGATTTATTTTATAATGTTACAAGTTACTAACATTACTCAGGGTCATTAAAAGAAATCTATATATATAAATATATATATAGGTTATAGTGTAGGCCTTCATTTAAAAATGTCACAATTAGCACGTAATTCCGTTACCAAAAAAAACGGCAAAAGTTACTTATTTCACAAATTTTCTCGTTTTTTTTCTTCAAATCATGTATGTTGAGAAAAGACCCTACTATAAACATAAATGAAAAATAAAAACTTTTAAATAGTAATTTCTTGGCATTTTTCCAAGTGGTAACGGAATTACGAAATGGTAACGCAATTACGGTAACGGAATTACGCATGCACAAAGTATGCACATTTTCTCCAGATTATGTACATGTACATGACATATTGAATAGGAGATTTGCATACATACCGTACCTAGGACAATAACATTAAATACTAAATTACATGTACTTAGTTAAATCATTTCCCCCTTTAATTTGCTGTTATGCAATTAAAAATAATCAGGTGTTCCATTAATATTTTTTACTCTTACTTTTTCTTTTTTACTATTTAAAAAATGCTAATAGTTGTTTGGATGCTTAAAGGGAACATACAAACATTTACAAACATCGAAAATAAAACTACCAAGTTTTCACAGAATACCTTACTAGGATGTTGGTAAATGACAGTCTAAAGCATCCTGTAAAATTATGGCACCTGGTGTGAAGTCATTTTCTAGAAAATGGTATTTTTGTATACATTACCAACGGTGGTCGGCCGACCACCGTTGGAAAAACCTAACAATTTTATAACTACCGGTACTGCTCCAACTTTACACTTTTTTTCAGTCCAAATTTTGTTTGCTATTGGTTACATGTTCATGAATGGGTGCAGGCCAGCTAGAATGATTCCCTTACCCTACAATTTTCCGGAATCTATAAATTGATCCATTTTATCTTTAGTAGAGTCAAGGAACCAGACTACTTGAACAGTTTTCTTTTTCTTGGTTTGTCAAGCATTTTCGAACCCAAAACTTTAAACATGATCTATTACATGTATACTAACCCCTCAAATAGTTCATTTCTGAAAATTACAGCAAAAGCCAATGATGTACATTCCCTTTAAAATATGTGTTGCCAAAGCTATTGTCTGGTACCCACAGAAAATATATTCCACGATAAGTATATGAAAGTTGAGTACCAGACTGTACTTGTACTTCTACTTGACATTACTTTACATCTTCCCTTGCTCAGAGATGCCAACCAGTACAGTTTTATTCTATTTCGCACGATAAACTAATGAAATACGATAGCACAATTGTTCATAATAAAATTTGATTTTCGGTAAAAAAAAATTATGCATTGCTAACCAGCAAATGCAGCCGTTGACCTTGACCTTTGACCTTAAAAAGGAAGCCCAGACATGTCTATGCCTACATTTACATTTTGATCTGCTAATTTTCACTAACCTTTCCCCTTGTGCCATTACATAAACTTCTAAAATTTGTATTGTGATGAGTTTATGTTGAATTCAATGTTAATGTATTGAATACCTATTACATGTAAACCTATGGCGTAATTCCGTTACCGCCCAGACGTTATTCCGTTACCGTGATTAAAATGCAAATTATTTTTTCAACTTTGTTCTGCATTGTAGTTAACAACAACCCTGAACTCTACAAATGACAGGTAGTGTCCAATTTTAAAATTTCAAAACTTCAGAGAGTTTTATTAATTTATGCGAGAACTCAAATACGCTTGTCCTCTGTCCGTAATTCCGTTACCGATATTAAGCTCCGCCCCTTAAAGGGTAATCTTGTGGGATTTTTTTTTTTTAGCGTTCAATCAATTCTACTGGGTCTTGGCTCCCTTTCCATGTTTAGATTAGTTGCCTAGCATAGAACATATTTTCTTGGGAAAGAATAATCCTTGACAAAGTGACAAAATTCCGTAATTCCGTTACCAAAGAATTGCCCAGCAAGTGAGGGAAAAAAGCTGAAATCCAAAACAAAAACAGCTGAAATCAGCTTTAAAGCTGAGATTTCACACCCCTAGGGAAAAAATACAAGTATTAACAAAGTGTGACGTCATTATATTTTAGGTCGACTGGGACTGTACATGCTGGAAGACTTGTGATGGACTTGCAGGTACTTGCGACAGACTTGCCTACATTTACATCCCTACCTTAGAGTATAAGTGGATTTAGGTGTGAAAGGATAAAGAGGAATCTGTGTGTATGCCAAAATGATTCTGGTTATTTTAAAACGGAGGAGGAAAATAAAGCAAAAAAAAATAAGATTCTTCATAAAAAAAAAAAAGATGGAAGGATTTTAACCTATTGCTGTTTGCGAGTTAGCCATGCCCCTAAGACAACCCCATGGAGGTTTTGTAGACTAAGTTCTGTTTGTCTTAGATTTTGCACGTTCAGCATCCATTTGTTTATATCATGTAAACGGACAATATTTCACAATCTTCATTGACACAATCTATGTTGAATCTGCGCGATTCTATTGCGATTCTATTGCGATTCTATTGGGATAGGTCAATAGGTCTACATCTTGAAATTAGCCAACAAACCTTTCTGTCGTCTGCCGAATGAGCCCACGGAACGCAAGGTCCCTCCAAGGGTCTTCCGGGGTTTCAACTCGATGGGGATGCGCTTGATGACACCAGGATTGCTGTCCGATATGTCAGCATCCTCGTCATTTGGAAACGAACTCCCCGTTCCCATGATGCACTGCAACAGCCCAGCTGGGCCCTCGTGCACAAACTACAAGTAAAATAGACATTCCATCAGTAGGAAAAGTGCACTAAATTAAAATTGCAATTCATTGTGTAAAAACATAAAGAGACACAGAAAGTCGATCCTAGGCAGCAGCAGGAGAGTTGTATCCAGAAGAATTACATCCAGTTTATATGAAGCATCAACCTCCCCAAAACATCTGGGGATATCAGTCTTTAGGTTTCCAGGAGAGAGGAAGAATGAGAGAGTAGTTTAAGTCGAATTACACAATGGGTTGGGATTGGAATTTGTGTAGGCCTACATGCACATGAGGAGGCTGTACGATGTGCCGGTCAAAGAACAAAACAAATGCAGGACCAGTTCACTGTTAAATAAAGGCAGTGGATATTTTGCCGGAGACGGCAAACCTTTAGTAAACGTTAGTTTGCCGGATATGTTGCGCATGCCTACGTGAGGATTGTGAACGTTCAACCAATGAAACGGTAAAAGGCACTGGATTTTTAGGAGTCCACATTTTTTTGTGACACTGGAAAAGTGTTTAAGACCAGCTAGCCATGTCTTTATCATGCGTTTAATACCGGCCACGTGACGGGCTCTCGACCAATAGGAATAGCTAAACTGTCTGAGGTACATTGCATTTATGAATAAAGGTTTGCCGTCTCCGGCAAAATATACACTGCCTTAAATAAATCACTTGCTTCGTAATATCATACAGTTATGATAATACATTTTGATGTTTTTGTAAGATAACATTGAGTAATGTTGATCTGGAATCTTCAAAATTAGGGAACCAAATAGCACTGTTAGCAGGCGGAGCCGAATGAAGACCGAGTTATGGAAAATCTCGGTAACGGTCGTCAAATTCAAAATTGTACATGACGCAGCAAAAAGTTCGCCCGTACGATCCGAGTTTATTTGATGCACAAAATCATCGTTGAATTTCAAGTTTTCTAAATGAAAACAATGAATATTAATTATCAACTCATTTAAAATAAAATTAATAAGCAATTAGCAGTTGATTGAACCTATATTATATACTCGGAAATACTCGGGCGCTATCCGATTGTCGACGAAACGACTTCGGCAAACTTTGGAAATTTTCACTTCAGAAAAAGGAGGAATTCCTCCCGTTTTAGTCACGTGACGTAAATTGTTATACATTGTATTACCGCAGGCTACCGGACCTAAGATTCATCAGGAATAGTTGGATCTTTTGGTCTGGGAACCAGACTACAGTATAATTATTAAGAATCAGTGAACGAGGATGCAGCTAGACTTGCCAAGCGCAGCAGGTGCTCGGTATCGACAAGACCGTTATATCTTGTCGCGCATTCTTAAGAATGTGCGCTCAATCTGGAAGAGTTATTTTTTGCGAAGATTGCGCAAGGATCCAGTTGCACAATCATAAGATTGTTCATGCACATTCTTAAGAATGCGTGATTTTCAAGAAAGCGCACAACAACATACCTACCGTACCGACGTCAATTTACAGTCGATGATCGATGTCACATTGCCTTTTGGGAGTATTTTTTTAAAAATCAAACAGAGGGTAAAACATTACCGTATAGATTCAATAAAAAAAAAACCATGAGACTAAATCATGGCTCAGAAAACAAAAAAAAATCCATCGCATTCGCAACCCAATCTTCGTCACCGGCACCGACACCGACACCGTCAACTTCGGCATGTTTGGTCGATTTCGACTCAACTTTCACCAAACAACAGAGGGCGTCATCAGGATTACGATAGTGCGATAGGTTCGCTCCATTGATCTCCATATACACAGACTATATGGAGATCAATGGTTCGCTCGTACCCGTACCCAGCCTCGACTCCAGGGGCGCGTGCTCGTTCCTTACACTAACCCCTGGCTGTGATGATGACGTAAATGACGCTGAATGGCCAGCCATAGATATAGAACTTAAAAGTTATTTTAAGTTCTATATCTATGGTTATTTTAAGTTCTATATCTATGCGGTGGGCTACTCACAGCGTACTGCGCGCGCATTTCGAAGATTGCACGCCGGGCGGCGATATCTTTTTTTACACAACTATCTGGGGTGCTTTGTGCGCTTTCCTATGGGGCTTGGTTTTTATAACCAGGCTTGAGTAGAGGCTACTATTTTTCAACTTGGTACGGATTTCGGACTTTATTTCCCTTTTAAAAAAAATCCTCCCTGGCTTCGGATCAGAAAAGAAAAAAGGAAATTGCTGCGATACAAGTAGTATCCGACTGAAAAATAACGTTTTTAAGATACAACTTTAAATTGTTGGAAAAAAAAGCAAAATCTGAAAGGGCAGAGCGAGGAATCGAACTCGAGACCTCCGATCATAAGCCAGCATGCCTAATCATTAGGCAACGGCGATGCTCGGCGAAACTTTGCAATTCATAAATTATATACTTTCACACATGTGGAGAGATACGACAGCCCATTAGCGCCACTGCAAGTATATATGTTGCGGATTATTTAATTCGTTATTACGGATTATTAATTCCTTATTACATATTACTAATTCGTTATAACGGATTATTAATTCGTTATTACGGATTATTTAATTCGTTATTACGGATTACTAATTCGTTATAACGGATTATTTAATTCGTTATTACGGATTATTAATTCGTTATTACGGATTACTAATTCGTTATAACGGATTATTAATTCGTTATTACGGATTATTTAATTCGTTATTACGGATTACTAATTCGTTATAACGGATTATTTAATTCGTTATTACGGATTACTAATTCGTTATAACGGATTATTTAATTCGTTATTACGGATTAATAATTCGTTATTACGGATTACTAATTCGTTATAACGGATTATTAATTCGTTATTACGGATTATTTAATTCGTTATTACGGATTATTAATTCGTTATTACGAATTACTCATACGTTCTGAGTCATACTCGGCAAGTATGGCACAGGAGTGCAAACGTTGTATGCAAAGATAGCGCCGCCTAGCGGCCCTATATACACAGGCCCCTGGTCACGTGCTCTCCACGTGTGAAAACATCAGACCTAATTCGTAATAACGAATTAATAATCCGTAATAACGAATTAAATAATCCGTAATAACGAATTAAATAATCCGTAATAACGAATTAATAATCCGTAATAACGAATTAAATCATCCGTAATAACGAATTAATAATCCGTAATAACGAATTAAATAATCCGTAATAACGAATTAATAATCCGTTATAACGAATTAATAATCCGTAATAACGAATTAATAATCCGTAATAACGAATTAATAATCCGTAATAACGAATTAAATAATCCGTTATAACGAATTAGTAATCCGTAATAACGAATTAATAATCCGTAATAACGAATTACACAATCTGTAACATATATACTTGCAGTGGCGCTAATGGGCTTTCGTAGAGAGAGTATACGCGCGCGCGCGTAGGTAAAAGGTTACAGGATTGTAGCCGTGATTCAAGTCGCCTGAAAAAAGGGTACCCTGTACTATTGTGTCAATAAAATATTCGCCGCCGGGCGCCCCCATAATGCTCGCGTGCTTTGCACGTAACGTCACGTACGAAAAAAAATAGGATTGGACGCGTGACCAGTGACCTGCTCGCCATCAAGGTCATGACTCCGCAAGGTTTGAAACGGTGTGGACGGTAATTCTGTCCCCCGTTAAAAGTGTCCGGGGGGACAGAATTATACCTAGGTAAAAGTGTCCTCCCCGACCCGTTAATTCTGTCCCCCTTCAGGTAATTCTGTCCCCTCCAGGGTTTTTGTCCCCCTAGTTTTGTAGCGCAGAAGGCCAGTAATTCCCTTTATGTTTTAATGAATTCATACAAGCAATACATTTTCGTACTTTTTAGTCTGCCCCTCATGAAGATGAATAAAATTAACTTTTTGGTCTCTTTGTGAAATGTGAACAATTATGTTTCGATCGACTCGGACTCGGAGTACGGTGCAATTACAGCAAGGTAGTGCACTACAGTAGCCCTATTCTACGGTGGACGCCTCATGGATATAACGACTACTTGGATTGGTCGTCGTTCCCATAAACGGCCGGATTGCATTATGTCGACGCTCAAAATTGTCCACATAATCCGCAATGAAACAGAAATCACATCCGGTATGGAAGGTACGCATTTCTGTAAGAAGTTTTCGGATAGCATTTGCGCACATTGTCTAACTGCGGTCTTGAACAGCTGCAGCCAGATGCTTTATACATAGGTCATAAGCCACTTCCTTCACAAGATTCTGTGAAGCTCATCAGAGTATCCCAGCGTCCTGTTTGCAGGGCGGGGGGTACGAGCGAACAGAAGCAGGACGAAGGTCACGAACGCAAGAGGGCGCAATCAATACTACCTCTTTTTATTTCTTTTGAAATTAAGTCGAAGCTTAAGAATTTATTGAGCAACGGAATCGTTCTTACAGTTAAATGGTCCCGTATAGCATTAGGAGAATGAGGAAAAGGGCTTTTTGTTGTTGCGCTCCGTTGAAACAAGAAACAATTATATGTAATATCTAACGGAATCTAAAAGCTACGAAAAAAAAGAAATGGGAAAAAATGGGTCTACTGGGGATTATTCTGGCCCAAAAGTGCAGTAAAGGGTTCGTTTTTCTTTTTTTCTTTTGACGATTTTTAAACGGTAATTGATTGGACGGTATGTACACGGATCTGACTTATTATTTATGATGTAATCGGCTGACTGATAAGGTTTACGCACAAAAACCCTGGCCAATGAGATTTTGTATAGAATGGTGGGCGACCCACTTTTTACGAGAGTGTGCTGGTAATGGCTGAGCCTGCGTGCTGCCAAATTTACCAATGGCATCCCTACATTTTCTTGGGCAAATAGGACCCATTTTCAACCCTAATTTTATCAAACCTACTCTATGATAATTAATAGCCCAAACGCTAGGGAGAGGATCCTCGGCTATATTTGCACGATTCCACCGATTTTTGAACTAGACAGTTTCTTTTTTACAAAAACTTGAAGGGTCACTTTTTATGCTAACAACTTGCGTAGAAATTTTTGAAACCCTAATCAATCGTGAATTTATTGCGCCCGCTGACGGTCTTATTGCGCCATTCGGATATATCGTCTGTCTAGCCCCCCACCCCACCCCCACCACCACACAGAAAAAAACTGTAATTAAATACTAGTTTAAAAATGTGCTCGTTTATTCAGAAATTCATGAAGCATAATATCCAAACTAATTGAGTGTCTTTCCCATTTGCAAAAAATCTTTTTTAAAGCCCACTATATGATGGTTGCGGTTCCCGGCTCTTTACAACTGTGTTTGATAAACGCACGTTCCAAATAAACACAACTGAATCGCCTTCCTCAGCATTTTAGGGAAGCCAAGCCAATCTAAACCGATTAAAACTGAATTTGACAGGATCACGACTTCATAACTGGTTGGAGAGGGGCACTAATCCTGCCACCTCACGCCTGCATACATTTGAAATATCCGTACGAGGAGATTGTTGCAGTATCGGAAGCACGAACCGAAGCACTTGTTTTCTGTGGGGACACGACGTGCTCAATGTCAGCCACAGTAAGACGAAACTTCATAATAATGACAAAAGTACTTGTACATGACGATATTATTGGCGACATACCTTGGGCCAAGGACAATATTTTGACATGGAACTGCTGTAATGGCCTGATGCCGTCGGTGACTGAAAAAATCCCCTGCTTCCGTTCCAATGTATAATTGAAAATGGCGTAACGGTAGTCACTACGTTCAAGCCCCCCCCCACCCCCCACCCCTTAGTGCACAAACTCTGCGCAGATACCTTTAGGCTGCGACACATGCGAGCCAGGCGAGTTGGGGCTGACAGGCCTCCCTATGGGACTTACTGCACAAAAGCGAAACAAGTGGCATCCGCTACTACGTCCGGGCTTTTCTCCAAACGTTTCAGGTCTAGCGCCGTGCCGATTTGCGTGCTTGTTGGCCCATTCATCCGCTTCAAAGCGGTACCGAGTTTGTCCAGATCTATTCAGGATAAGGTACCTCTAGGCTGCAACACATGGGAGCCAAGCGGGCTGGCGCTGACAGGCCTCCCTATGGGACTTACTGCAAAAAAGCGAAACAAGTGGCATCCGCTACTCCGTCCGGGCTTTTCTCCATACGTTTCAGGTCTAGCGCCCAGCCGATTTGCATGCTCGTTGGCCCATTCATCCGGTTCAAAACGGTACCGAGTTTGTCCAGATCCATCCAGGTTAAGGTACCTTTTGTCTGCGACACATGGGAGCCAGGCGGATTGGCGCTGACAGGCCTCCCTTTGGGACTTACTGCACAAAAGCGAAACAAGTGGCATCCGCTACTACGTCCGGATTTTTCTCAAACAGTTTCAGTTCTACGCCCTGCCGATTTGCATGCTGGTTGGCCCATGCATCCGCTTCAAAACGGTACCGAGTTTGTCCAGATCCATTCAGGTTAAGGTACCTTAAGGCTGCGACACATGGGAGCCAGGCGGGTTGGCGCTGACAGGCCTCCCTTTGGGAATTACTGCACAAAAGCGAAACAAGTGGCATCCGCTACTTCGTCCAGCCTTTTCTCCAAAAGTTTCAGGTCTAGCGCCCAGCCGATTTGCATGCTGGTTGGCCCATTCATCCGCTTCAAAATGGTACCACGATTGTCCAGATCCATCCAGGTTAAGGTATCTTTAGGTTGCA